CTTGGCTCACACCGAACAGCAAGCTATAAAGGGCCACAAAAAGACTAGTGTAAAACAATTCAAACAGGAAAACCAACGGTATAATCTATATAAAACACGAGAAACGAAAAACACTTATGAACCACACCAACAAACGACAACCACTGAACAACAGGCTCCTGACTTAAAACAGGTGCATAAAAATGCCGGTTTCCCCACCTTTTTTGTAATGCTTGTATTGTTCTAATTTTTATGAATCAAACACCGAGTTTGAATTTGTGCCGGTTAACACAGAGTTGGCAGAATGATTCTATACAAATTCAATTAATCGGTTATAATATTTGGATCCGCGTATACACCTCTTTTTTCATCTTATTTCTGCATGTTTGTATTTAAAAAAGTAAACCTAATTTTCTGCATCTATTCATCCTCACCATTTCCGGTGCTATTCGAGGTATTGCCCGCAATATAGTCTACATCAAAACGCATTTTATTTGTCTGGTTCACCAACATGCACGTGACGCAAATCTGCAATTTTATTTTACAAAATTTCCTGTCTCGATTGCCTCTCCTTTTCCTCAACTACACGAGAAAGCATAATATAATGTTTGCTGAATGATGTAACACTGAGTAACAAAGGAAAATATTTCTTGTACCATTATTTGATAAATATCCACATGTACGGCTTCCAAAAAATAAGAAAAATACATCTGCATAATATGGCTCTTCAACTGTTTCGGTTCTTATACATCCTTGACTTTCAAATATTCGGCCTGAACGTTCCTGATGAAGGTAAATCCAGAAAAGCGCTTCGGACGCGTTGATTTCATTTTATCTTGAGAATTTTTATGGCTGTAATAAGGTCAATAGCGGACCTTTCATATAAATTTTAACAAAATAAAACAGATCTGAGTTTTTGGTATAACTTCCCATAGCACATATGTTATGTATGAAAATGAAAACTTACACCTACTAGGATACTGAAAAATCGACGTACCTAGTGTATTTACTACTGTTATGCCATAACACTGTGTAAAGTGTAATGATACAGCATTGTGCATAGCGTAATGCTTTAAATGTACTGGTGTAATGCTATAAGAATGTACCAAATGCGATGTTATGAGATTCTCAGAATGTATCATTCCAGTATGATGCTGAAAAATGAACCTAATGTAATTTTATAAGAATTTATATAGTGTAATGCAAGGCGACTGTTCGCAATGTAATGCTATACGGGTTTACCTAGTGTAGTGCCATACGAATATAGCCTTTATATAACATGTATAATGCAAATGAATTGGTTTTTTATTAATATTATAAAAAAAATAGTATGTGGTATGACTGCCAATGAGACAAATACTCGCCAAAGTTCAAATGAAGTGAATGTAACAAATTATTATAGGTAACCACACGACCTTCAACAATGAGGAAAAAACATACCGTATAGTCGGCTACAAAAGGCCCCGACATGAAAAATGCGAAACAGTTCTAATGAGAAAATCAAAGACCTAATTTATAACAAAACATTTTACGAAAAACAAATATAGTGACAGACATAAACCAATGACAACCACTGAACCACAGGGTCCTGAACGCTTGTTGTAAAACTTTGAACTAGGTGAAAGAATAGAGCTGACCTTGCGAGATCCTTATGGATAATCAATGTCGTCAATGTAGTACAATTTGGTAGTAATTTGAAGTAGGCAAATATTTACTTTGATTTCAAAATGTTTTCCCAGATTTTCCAAGATACGTCACTTCCGGAGAGTATTAAATATCAAACTCGGTAAAATTTGGCAGAATCGAATTTCCGGATAAAAAAAATCGTACGTTCCGGAAATTCAGGTCCATCAAATTTTACCGAGTTTGATATTTACACACTCCGGAAGTGACGTATCTTGGAAACCATTTTGAAATCAAAGTAAATATTTGCCCACCTCAAATGGAATCGTACCTTATTTTATCATTTCTTTTGGATATTTCTGGAAGTATTTTGCACCAAAAGCACACAAAAGGTAAGACTATGTAACTATTAAAAAATTTCTAGCCATGAATGAAGATTTCATGCCAAAATTGGGTCTCAAAGTTCCGCCGAAAATTCTCTCTCAAAGTGCAGACGCAAAGAATGGCTTCAGCGTTATAACGTCGTAGGTAGTCGTCACAAATAAAAATTAAAGTAGCCTTTCTAGACGTCAAAATTATTTGGACTACAGGGACACTTAACGTTTGTTTCAGTTATAGCATATCCCTATGTCATTCCAGGGTGATGCTGGGGAAGATTTTCCCCCATAAGGGTTAGTGCCAATAGGGTGATTTTCTGGCTTTTTAGGTTTGTTTATCGTGTTTTTATGCTTAATGACGGGCTAACACACTTAGGAAAATGCGTTTTATAGTTAGCCAAGAACTTTGCGATGAGAATGGTAACTCGTATAGACCTATAGTAGACTCCGCTTGGCCCTTGAAGTAAAATGATCTGGGTTCAGTATGGTCAATATTGGCGTCTGGCTATCCAACAGGCAGGTAGAAGTCGATTAAAATTGTTTCTTGGCTGACGTTCGTACAATTAAGAATACTTAAGGGTACATGACCGGTTGCAGGGACCATAAGTGTTCGTTTGTGCCATACTATACTCCTATGGCATGCCTTGGCGGTGCTTGGGGAAGATGTTCCCCCTTTAGGGTTAGTGCCAATAGGGTAATTGTCTGGCCTTTTACGGTGGTTTATCGTGTATTTCTGCCTTAGGAATGGCCAACTTAATTATGAAAAGGCGTCTCATAGTTAGAAAAGGCCTTTGCGATCAAAGACTTCTCGTTTGGGGCTATAGCAGGCTTCGTTTCGTCAATAGTATAAAAATTTCAGGGGTCGATATTGCCAATTGTTGCGTCTGGCTATCCGACAGAGGTCAATTCAAATTGTTTTTTTTTGGCTTACGTCCACATAATTAAGAATAAGTAATGATGCAAACAGGTAGCAGGAACCCGAAGTGTTCGTTTGAGCTATACTGTACACCTAGTCCATGCATGGGCGGTGCTTGGGGAAGATTTCTCACCTTAAGGGTTAGTGCATATAGAGTAATTTTGTGACCTTTTAGTTTGGTTTGTCGTGTTTTTCTGCCTTAGGACGCGCCTAAGTATTAGGAAAAGGTGTCTAATAGTTATACAAGATCTTCACAATAAGATAGCATCTCGTATAGACCTATAGGAGTCTCTGCTTGGTCCTTATTATAAAAAGACCCGGAGTCAGTATGATCAATATTGGCGTCTAGCTATCCGACAAGCGGGTAGAGGTCGATTAACATTATTTTTGGCTAACGTTCGTACAATTAAGAATTTCGGATAAAGGCAGGTAGCAGTAACCCGTAGTAATCTTTTGAGCTATAATGTACTGGCATGCTCGGGTGGTGATACGAAGAGTCGAGTTAGCGCAGCGAACGAGTTCAAAAATACTTCATATTGTGTTGACCACTAATATTTTACAATATCAAAATGCAGACAACCAGATAATCGATTTATCGGGTTTTATTTGCGTATTTTGCAAGAAAGAAACATGTGTTTTCTTTGTTTCACCAGCAAACCGGAAGATGACTTCAAAAGTTTTGGTTCAAAATCATCAATGTCGGTTCATACATTATTACTGTAAAAGATGAAGTTGTCACTGCTTAATTGACAGCATTTTGCCATGAGAAAGAAATATCAAAATTCCAAAAAAAAAACATAAACAGACACTCACTTATTTTTTCTTAAAAGTCGAGTGGGTTGTGGAAATAAATTGATTGGTGCTATTTCGGTTATTCATATATATGTAAATGTTTAACCTTAAATGGCACGCTGTTTTCGCGCAGTAAAAAGCTGTAGCATTTTTAAAACCAGGTGTATGTCCAGCGAGCGTTTTAAAATTACCAATTCAGGGACAGCAACCCAACAACGGGTATCTGATTCGTCTGAACATTTCAGGGCGAATAGATCTCAACCTGATAAACATTTTTACCCTATGTCAGATTTGCTCTAAATGCTTTAGTTTCAGAGATATAAGCCAAAAACTGCATTTTACCCCTATGTTCTATTTTTAGCCATGTCAGCCATGTTGTTTGGCAGGCGGGTTCATCGGACACATTTTTTAAATTAGATACCCTAAGGGTGATTATGGCAAAGATTGGTTAAATTTGGCCAAGTAGTTTCAGAGGATAAGATTTTTGTAAAAGTTAACGGACGACGACGGGCGACGACGGACGACGACGGACGCCAAGTGATGAGAAAAGCTCACTTGGCCCATTGAGCCAGGTGAGCTAAAAACTCATTTTTATGAATGCATATCACCCCGATTTAGAATTAACACACGTTGAGTGCACATTACTCGATGAATGATGAACACATAATAGCGCACTTTACACGATTAAGAGCAAATGAACGTTGAATGGAAAACACACGGAACGATGAATGATGAGCGCACGTACGGTGAATGCACGATGCATAATAAAAACACGGAAGTAGGTCAGTTAGAGTTTTAGAAAGTCTGTTACATATCAGTGTTCTTGAAGAAAAAATCAAGTTTGCCGCAGGGTATCACCAACCCAGTTGCCAATACTTCGAAACAGGCATGATAACACGGATATTTTGTTTAGATTTGCTTTCATAAAATTTCGAAATCATTTTAAAAATATATTTCCCTCGTGCATAGCTCGAATTCTCTGTCCGGACTTGGCTTTGGCTTTGGTAAATTTTTTGTGTAATCAGCTCCTTCATTTTTGTAGAAATAATCGAACTTCAAACTATTTCGGCCTTAAGCATCATTTAAGAAACAAATTTTCGAAATGCTCATTTGGGGTAGTAAGATTGGTACCGTTTATATTATGAAGAACCCGTGTAAAATGCATTACATACGTTAAGTAATTGATACTTTATAGGAGGAATTCATTGAATTTCTTTATTTGCGATAATTCATTCATTGGTGTGTTTTGCAAAAAGGATTGATTATTTAAAAGCATTTATCTCCATATTTTTTCCTTCTTTTCAAAATCTTACCTAGTAAACTAAGGCATGTAACTGACATTTGAGCCAACAAGTTTCTTGTAAGTATTTTTTCTTTGCCTGAAAAGAAGATACCGTGTTACATGTGTACTATGACTGCATATTGCACGTACAAATATTGCCTCAGTTTCAAGTACTAGATATGTCTATTTACAGCAAAATGAACCTAATCAACTAAAACCAAATTTAGATATATAAACTCCAAACTGTATTTGTACCACATCTTTTAATCAGCACAATATTTTTTTTTTTCAATATGGCACAGTTTGCGACAAAAAATCGATAGTACGAATGCAATGTCAATAAGAGTGTCATTTCTATGTATCATACAGAGTTAAAGTGAATTGTTTTGTAGGCTCCAAACAGATATGTTAATTATGCTTCATGAATAGATTTATATGCATGCTATTTTTTTTAAAAAGGAATTCTTGTTTAAAAAAAGGATTCGGTGATAATCTGTAAATATACTGTGTATAATGATAGATAAAGTCTATCCAAGTTATTGACAGTTTCCTCTTCCTGAGTGGGTTTTTTTTTCAATTGACAAACGCTGATGTACTACATAATAAAACTGGTATCACTTATGAGCTTAAGCACTTGCATGATCAATGCTACAGCTGTTTATGTTTCGTTCCCGAAAGTATGACCAGCCCAGAAATCAGCTCACTAGAGATGGCATCAAAATCTATCATATTGTAATTTTCTCTACATTGTATTTCATTTTTCTGAAATTATTTAAATCATTTAACAAAACGAGGGCATTTTTCCATGCACAGACGGCCTTAATAATGCTTACACGAAATCTTTTAAATGAAATCTTTTATTCAAATGCTCTTCAGCTTTTTAATTGATTTGACATTCTAACATGTCTAACTGTTTTGATTAAACTACACTGACGAATCTCATGTAAACCAAACAACCTCGTGTTCTGGTGAGTTCCATTTAAAATCTTTTGCCTTAATTGTTTTCACAATCACTGGGTGTACATGACACTCCTCGTAAAAATAGTAAACATTTTGTACCCAATGACATCACAATTACAGTATCCAATGCTCCCGTGCTAGCATTATTGTCACCCGAGGCGTGTCATTGACACATTCATTTTTGAAAATTTACTGTTTATTCTTATCTAATCACTTATGTATTCTCATCTTTTCCAATCGGACATAAATGGCATAAACTTGATATGACCGAGCTATTATTTTTGATTTTTCAACCTCATTATTTATTTGGTTATCATTTGGCATAGATTTTGGCGACATTGATGACTCTTATGTAAATGAATCGATTGTCTGTTGTACTTAAATACTCAGTTTTAAGTCTAATATCTCGTATACGTTTTTATATTCGTATTTGTCCTATTCTCAAACGATCCTTTGTATTATGATGTCTGATTTTCTTTCTCTTAACTCCCATGCGCGTGTATGTGTGTGTAGGTGTGTGTGCAAAGTATAATGATATATGTTTATTTCTAAAAAAATATAAATTTTAAGTTTAACTGTATGAATCATGCAAATTTCTAATAAGTAGGTTGTAAAATGGAAAGGCTGGCTTAAACCGTTTTGTATTCGAGCTATATATGTTTGGTCTCTCAAATTTGTGGTCTTAATCATGCGAACTTAATCAAGGTTTTTTTTAGAAACACACATCGTATTTTATTGCCCTACCTTTCAAAACAGATGATGCCTCTGATTCTACTGCAGTCCTACAATTTGAATCATTATGATGTTAGTAAAATTTCATACTGCTATTTATTTTTTACCAATATTCCAATACATGTAAGTAGTTATGTTATGACAAGATCATAAAATGTGCCCGGATTAAAACCACTGGAGATGCATGCATAGTCACCTTTTCGAGTTACCTGGTCTCGCTCCTGGTGGGTTCAGTGGATTCCATCATTTGTTTTTTTTTCTTTTTCTGTTTATTAAAAAAGGATTGATAAAATATGAATATCGGTAAAGTATTGTTGTTTTTTTCTCATTTCTTTCGTCATCTAAGGATATTTGTTATGCATTAAATAATAAACCAATAGTTAACTTTAATTTTCACTAAAATATGTATTGTATGTGTTTCATTTTGAACAACGATATTAAAATTGAGTTTTAATATCAATTATTCAGCAACACTGCTTGTATTTTGTTCCGTGTCGTATAGCACTCGACCGATGTGGATTATTACTAAAATAAGTTAAGGTAATTCCCAGCTGTACAATTTAATTCTCCTCAAACTACAATCATCCACCAAATTATCGGAAAGTAATTAAACCGTATAAATTTCGTGAATCAAGCTCTATGTTCGAACTGTAAACTTTAAATGTATCAATATTCAATGTCGACATTATAAGAATAAGTAATGTTATGTTCAGTTTGTCAGAAGCCTCATCATATATTTTTCGCTTCGGCTAAACAACTAACTTTTTTTTTTATTTCACATTGGTTAGAAGTATAGCGGAGGGTTAAGATCTCAAAAAGCATGTTAACCCCGTCGCAATTTTCCGCTTGTGCCAAGTTGGGAACTTCAAGCCTTTGTAAGCCATATGTTTTTTTTTTTTTTCGTTTTGATTCATTTGTATATTTCGGAGTTTCGTGTGGCGTCCATTTGGCTGAACAAGTATTATTATTGTTTATGGGTCAATTAAGGCCCGCCCTGGATGCGGGGTTTACTCGCTGCGTTGAAGACCCATTTATGGCCTTTGGCTGTGTTCTGTTCTTCGATTGGGTTGATTCTATTATTTATCTTTAAAATCATACAGGACAAGGTTTGATAAGGGCAATTATTTGGTCCCTTGAATTCGAAAATAAAAAATAAAAAAATTTTTAAATATGATTAATACGCTGATTTTGGCAGTTGGTTCTTGTGTTGTGCTATGGTACCGCTGACCCATGTTAGGGGAGGGTTGACGGACGGTGTTTTAGGACATGGATAACCCCGCCATATTCCTTATTCGCTGTCCTAGGTCAGGAGCCTGCGGTTGGGTGGTTGTCGTTGGTTAATGTCTGTCATATATGTTTTTTTGTGGATTGTATTGTATAAATTATGACTAGTTTTCTCGTTAGATTTTTTTCACATTAAAAGTACCTTTTATAGTTGGCTATACCGTATGGGATTTTCTCATTGTTTAATGTCGTACGGTGACATAAAAATTGCTTTAACCTTCGTCATTTGAACTGTGACGGATAGTTGTCTCCTTTTTTATCTTCAGAAGTTTTATACGGCATTAACTACCAATCATCGGTATTTATATTTTCGAATTTTGTATTATATATTTTCATCAGGGCTTGCATTTGTTGAAAAAACAGCAAAAACTGATAAAATAGCTTTATTTGGATAGGAAACATCTTTACAAATAAATATATTTTGCTAAAAGATTTATTGTACAAAAGATACAATTGCCTGTAAAATATCTTGTCGGGTAAACCTGTTGTTCATGTCTATTTTAACTTAACGAACATGTAAAATAGCCATTGAAGGTCAATTTCTGTTCGACTTGTTTATTACGCTATAGCAACAGCACAAGTAACCTTTCTGCACAAAAACATTTGGTTTATATCGGCCTGTTTATTTGTGAATAAAACAAACATTATTTTGAAAGGCTTGAATGATTTTACTATTTTTAGCATTACAGGGGCTAAATAAGTACTCTTAGCATACCTCTTCCATTACATGTTTCCTATGATATTGTTAGCTACAAGGACCATCATGCAGCTCATGCTTATGAACCGAAAATGACACTGTATCTGGATGCATCAAAGCTATTTGATTATTCATTTAGAAGTGTATTTTAAATCTTTTACAAATTAATATTTGCAAAACAGGTAATCCAAACATGAACGATAAACAAATCAGATGAAGCAAACTGAAAAATCGTACATGTGTCCGATTTGTTAATCTTCGTTTTTCTCCCATTTGCCTGTACCAAGTCAGGAATATGACAGTTGTTATCCATTCGTTTGATGTGTTTGAGCTTTTGACTTTGCCATTTGCTTAGGGACTTTCCGTTTAAAATTTTCCACGGAGTTTGGTATTTTTGTTATTTTACTTTTTGATACGATATTCAAGAGCTTGCGTTTCCTATCGTTATCTTCTTAACAGAGATTGTGTTGCTGCTTACTAGGAAACTTTCAAACTAAGGGTTCCAAGTGGTGGAGTTCCCGTCGAAGAAATGATGGACGCCATTTCGAATAGGTTTGAATAAGTTTTATTTGCGTGAGCTACACGACATGTGTAACATGTGGAGCAGGATCTGCTTACCTTACCAAAGCACATGAGATCAAGCCATTTTTTGGTGTTTTTGGTTGGATTTGTATTGCTCAGTCTCTCATTTTCTATGTTATATTTTGTAGACTGTTGTTAGTCTTTTCGTCACTTTTCGTTTTTTTTGGCATGATTTTCGAGTATCACCTGGGTATTTTCCGTGACTCTTTAGTAAAATCAAGCAGAAAAATAATACATTGATTTTGAAATGAAACGATCATTTTGATATAAACTGGTCTTGAAAGACTAGCAAAAATAAGTTAATATTATCCATTGTTGTTGTCCATTTTAATACCTATCAACTACGGTAATTTCAATAATTTCAGAATATTTCGGTGCAGTCAATTATGAAATGTTCAGTCTATTCTTATGCCCACACAAAACAATAATGTACCAATTGCATGAAAAGCTACCGAACAGTACTGAGTTCACTGCAACTGATACGTCTGATCAGTACTGAAATTATAACAAGACTGTACATCGTTAAGTTCAAGCTTATAAGATGATTTCAGGTCAAAACGACAATTCAATTAAATATTGTCGTGAAATGTAAATTTCCTGCAAGATTACTCTTAATCGTGATTTCTCTCTTATTTGATAAACAAATAAACGAATACATAGAAATAGAAATGCTTACTTATTAATCAATGGACAACTAAACAGCAATGACGAGTCTTCTCTAGAACTACAATTATAATCTAAAATAAAAAGGAATTATTTGAAATATTTGGTTTTATATAAATTAAGAGCCATTTTTCTAAAAAAAAAAATGCTTCAATTCCTTCTATTCTTTTCATCTACGTAACGTTGTCTCTTTATTCTATAAACCGAATGTATTACTGATAGCAACTGTTATTCATAACTGTAGTTTTTTAGTTACATTTGTTTGATGTTGAGGACCTACACGAAATCTCCATTACTCAACTAATGAGTCCTCAAGATCGATGTACGGTATCATTTGGGTAAGTTAACGCATGCTTTTTCTAACTACATATTCGCATATTTAGCGTTTCAAGTTTAATAATTACAATTTATTTTTTCAAAAAATAACTTGTGGGAATAAAGACAAAATAATACAACAGCTATTATCATTGATAAATATCCATTGCCCATTATCGTTTCTACACACTGTCTACTTGATATAAGTTGCTACAAGTTGATATAAGAGAGTTTTCTTTGTTTGTATATAAAACATTTTGTTAAATTTCGGATAATCGTGGTCTTTTGTTACAAAGGAAACGAACTGCGAACCTCTAGTTGATATTAGTTAGATAAATAGTCAGTGTAAAATTTGTATGGAAGTGTTCTGCTATCTTGAATCGCATGTCATCAGCAGAGATCAAATTGTTACGGAAATCAGGAAACTGTGATGCAGAATTGCAATCAATTTGTGGAATTTCCGCTTAAATTTTATAACATTTTATCTTTCGATTAGTAAATTTTTGCCAACACAGAAATGTTAAGATTCATTAAAAGATTAAAAGCACTTTCATTGAAAGATAACTGAGACAATTTCGTTTAATAAAGCGAATTCAGATACAACTTTTGTTCCATTTTATCATGTTTATTTCCTGAAATCATTTAAAAAGATCATCCACCATTTTATTTGAATTTTATCCCTTTGCATCTTTTAAGATAGTTACAAATTATAGTGATTTTCTGTTCCTCGCCAAAAGAGAATGATCAACATACTGAAGCCTACATAACCCTTTCTCTTTTTTATTCTAATATACCTAATTCGAATGCTTTGATTTTAATATTGCATCAAAGGAATTTCATGGTTCTTGAAGACTTCGTCATGTATAAATAAAACACGTTTTCAACGCAAAGCCATAGATTAATTCATAACTGTTACATCACCGACATTAAATGAAATATTTTAAATCCATAGTAGTATACAGTGACTGTGACACTCAGAACATCAAATTTGTAAATAGTTATTTCGGGATGACCTATTATATTTTTCTGGCATGTACAATATTGTGTGATTTTCCTTTTTTAATTTAGCATTGTATTGTCGACGAAAATATGCCGTAGACTTGTGTATTGATCTTACCTTGATTTAGCGGCATGTTTGTTGGACAAGAAACTATGTAGCACATACAATCTTCCTCTGTTGGTCTACAAAAACATTTATCTCTTGGTTCAGTAACGAATGCAAACCCTGCTGTATAGTCACATCGACAGGTGCTGTCAGCCATAGAAGAACCATTCCCGTTTAATATCTGTCCCAATTCACCACACATTGACTTTTTGAAGACACATTGACTTAATCTATGTGACCAAAATTTAAACGGTTGATACTTCAACGTAGAACAGTCGGTATTTTTGCGTCTACCGCTTGTTACATATTTTTGTCCTAGATTGAAAAAAAAATAACAGGATATAAACTAAATGTTTACAGTTTTGGATACATTTCAAACTTTTGTTTCATTAGTGTAACATATCTAAGAACATCAAAACATAAACCAACTGTTTATCGACGTTTATTGTTCCTGTAAGAAGATGTTTACATTACAGCGATATAGTTTGCGTATTTGAGTGTAAATGTATATATAAAAATGACAGATAAAGACGAACGTAGGATGGTATAGGAACCGACAACTAAAAAAACCTGATTGTTCTAAATTATAGGGCCTGTATCTGCATGCATGGATGGTGAAAGTTATGTTGGTTTCAGCATACTTTTTCAGGCTACAATAATTTCTGAAATCTTAAGGTGAATCTAGGTGCTCCAGGTAAAATAGAAGAATCTGGTTCACTAGTTGCATATTTTATATTGGATTTGTGTGTGAATATACGTTACATTTGGTGAGAACTTTCGGGATGTGGCTACGACAAATATTAAATTCATGTAGTCATCTATGACACAGATATACGGTCAAACAAATCATTATGACCTTATTCTGTGGCCATCTGGATTATATATAATTAGGGAATACAAATTAAGACACTAGATTTTTGGGACCGTGTTAAGCAAATTTGTTTTCTGTTAAATTGTGTGTGTACTGTTTTGGGTGTTTTGTCGTTTAATTTTTGCCAGGATATTGGCTGGGTTTTTTTTATTTCTTTTGTTTGCAAAAGTTATTTTTTTAGCTGTGATCTTTTTTAAAGAAAAAGCGCTTAGTATCCGTAATTTTACCAATGTAAGGATACACTATTCTGAGTTTGTTTTAGTTGGGCAATAGTTCCTGTTGATTATTGTTAGTTTGCTTTTAGTCGATTTCAGATTTGAAACAGGTATTAAATTACATAATTTGTTGATATAATTTGTTCAACGAATGTAGTTGGCGTACCTGCAAAAGCAAATTTCAACTTATTAAACGTCCAATTATTAACGTTACTTGCCTGGTCGTACGTAGTCAGCACTGTCCGCACACGATTCTTTATAAACGTGTGTATCCTGATCTAACAGACATGAATAGTGATCTGCTATGTTATAACAAACATGCCTTGCCCTAAATGTTCTGTCTAATTCATCTGGACACTTCAGTTCGAATGCTGCGATAACAGTTGTTGTTAGTAGAATAAAAATCATCTGAAATTACATGATTTATTTATATTCCAGTATTATTTTAAATAAATTCAAGTGTAAGTTTTATATAGTGTACATCCAAAATACTTTGAGCGTTTCTCATCAAATCAATTTGACACGTTATCATGATTTTAAAAGTTTAAAAGTTTAAGAATATAAGTTTTGGAACGCATATTAAACTATCACAGTTGGGGGGAAAATGTGTTGATAGCGACTTGGATGAAAATTTTATCTGTTACGCCTCAGCTTGTTGCTATTTGATTAAAATTGGTATTCGGAAACATTATGTGTCCAAAGCGCTTTTATTTCCTTACCTTTATCGTATACATCATGAAAACTTAAAATTAAATAATGCGCATTTAAAAGCAACATTTTATAGGATTTTCGGGTTATTATTTAACACATTGAACCCAAGGTGTTTGCCTTTTATTTGACAATAAACAGAAAATAATGAAACACTTATGATTTTCGTTTTAAAACTATCTTTTGATCATTATTTAGAGGTTCACAAATAATTAATATGCAAGATATGAAAATAAGAAAAAAGGGAATGATTGCCAATGAGACAATTTTCCATAAACGACCAAATGATGCAGAAAAGAACACATGTGAGTCACCATGCGAACTTCTGCAATGATCAACACAAATAGTGTATAGTAATAAAGATATTCAATTGAAATTTTCGTTTTAATGAAAACAGATGTTAGATGTGCTCTCGAATAACGCAAAAACCCAATTGACATCTAAAGTTTACCATATGGCTTTTATCAAAAGACAAAATGTTTATTCAATTCATCATCAACACAATGAACAATAAATTGATCAAATATGACAATTAAATGGTCACAAATACACCAACGAGATTGGTCATATTCTGAAATTAACAATGCAATACAGGGTTAGAAATATATTTTTTATTTATCTGAACCGTACCTCTTTCCTATCTAGGGAAACCAATAGCTACATACAAAAAACATACAAAAACATGTACGCAGGAAAGTACTTTTTACAATTACATTGTATAAGAAAGAAAATACACAGGTACAAAAAAAACCGTGATAATCAATAGTATAATGCATCAAGGAGCGCTTTGACTTAATGTAAAGCATTAATGAAGTATTTAACCTGCTGATATGAAATAATACCGTCCAATACTATAGCTACACCATTGCTTGCTGTCATTTATTAAAGATTTCATACAGCAGCATGTGAACAGCAAAGTGAAAGACATTCTAGTACAATGCATAGAAATGCAAAGAGCAACAAAAACAAAATTTAAGTTACGCATAAAAGTGGCAATTAGCGAGAATATTTTGATTGCTAGCTGATTGAGCAAAAACAGTTTAATTTGAACCTTTGTAAGGACAAAAATAAAGCATTGATAGCGCAACTTCGTCTAATCTTTGTAATTGCATATGTTTTGACATATTATTCAGGAATAACTTTCATATCAGATCGCTTCTTGATTTTGGTGGTGCAAATTAAAGAAATGGGTTCTCGAAGACGGCTGTTTGTAATTTTGAAAGATGTTTCTGTGTTGATTGGCAATACCAAACAGCAAACATAATTTGTATGGACAATTATGTTATTTTAGACACATTGAAAATAACGGGGAAAAATATAAAAACGAATAGCAATTAATTCGAGTGATCCATGATAGTGTTGTTTGGAATTATTGATGTTCAAAAGTGTGGGTACGAGACGGATCATCTCAAACTACTTCCCTCTTCCAAAACCCCTTATAACGATTTCTTTACTTAAAAACAGACCAATACATAACATTCTAATGCTTACTAGACTAATCCAATCGATGCATATTTTGTACTGATGTAAAGGGACAGATGAGTAATGGTCTCAATGTCTTACTTTTGCATCGATTTTTTCAAATTCCGATTTATTCAGTAATTTTGCAAATTTGATGGGGTTAGTTTGTTCAGTCTTTAGTTTTCTTTGTTGTGTTTTGTGTACTGTTTGTCTTTTCGTCGTTTTCCGTTTTTTTGTCATGGCACTGTCAGTTTGTTTTCGACTTTGAGTTTTGATATCCCTTTGGTATCATTCGTCTCTATTTTGGAAAGAAGAAAAACTTTACAAATAATGTCTCTTCTTTGTAGATATTGTACCATTTTAATAGAAAATATATGTGTTTTATACTACAAATGTAACAGTCATTTTTTTTAAATTTAATAGAAGAAATTTTCTTCACAATCAGGGAAGAGAGTCACCATGTTGACTTGCTGAAATCCATAAATGTAAGAATAATGCAATAGACAAACAAATAAGACAACACTTACCTCAAAACTTTATATTGATGCAAGATTATCCTAATTTGTAGCCTACACTATGGACACGTTTGGAATAATTTTCAGCTTGAGAATTTTGCATTTGTATGACGTCATCTTGTGCAGTGCAGCAATGCAGCAAGAGCTTTCATAGCATTTTGCAGAATTTTAAATAATTTTAAATTTGTACATTTTACAAATCTCTGATGCATTAACTTTTAGGTTATGCATTAGAATAAGAATATTGGTTCTTTATTTATTTTTTTCAATTTTGATGCTTTATTTTTATTGTTTTATAGCTAGCTCAACCTCTCACTTGTATGACAGTCGCATAAAATTCCATTATATTGACAACGATGTGTAAACATAACAAGCAGACATAAAAATGTCAAAATAGGGGTAAAACAGTCAACATTGTGTTATAATCATAATCACTATAAAAACAAAAAAATATGTAAATAAGTATGTTATTAGCTTTTACGACGCAACAAAACTATATATGAACATGAAAAACACATATATAAAAAAGGTTTACCAATTAAAAAGTAAAGCTGAAAAAGAAATGTCCCTTCAAACAACGAGCAAAATCTTCCTTCAAATAATTTTGAAGTCTAGAAGAAAGAACTCACACTCACACACACACACACACACACACACACACACACACACACACACACACACACACACAGTATTTAATTTAAAAGAATAGATAATGCACATATATTCAATATGCAAGCAATGTACAAACAAATGCGTGTGTTAAAAGATGAAGTCCGGCGGCAAATGACATTAATGTGCAATGATGGAAGAAAAATAATCTTTCTGGCTTGCAAGGAAAAGTGTGTAGAAGCATATTTATCAAAGATTAAGTCGTGCCAATATTTTACTGTGACATTGGTACTAAAACACAGATCTAAAGGCGACAATTGTTTAGGACACATTATAAACTATGTGTATTCATTCATAATCAAAGTTCGTGACGTTTTAAGTTTTATGTTAATTTCAATAACGGCTAAGATACACACTATGAGTCAGAGGTGTCTGGTTTTTAACAATAACACTTATCACGATAAAAGCTGAAAAAAGCATTTCAATGATCAACAAAATCGCTCTATGTTAGTTATTTCCTGGCTGAAATTAATGAAGTTGTTATTTAAAGAAAAATGCAAAAATAGTATTACCTGTAGGCCTTTCGAAACTTCCGGGTGTTTAATCGATATGTTAAACTAGGTTATTATATGGAAAACCCCATGAATAGATTTACAGGAAGTCGACAAAAATATGCTAACATTTGTGTCGGTTGAAAATCTAAAGGAATACCGTATAATCTTTTGAAAACTTATCGTTTAATTAAAATAGGTATGCATAACCAGCCCTATATTTTCCAACTACTAGGGCTATATCTATAGATGGAACAAATTAATCCAATTTTACCGTAAATAAACGAATTTTGCTGAGCTGTGCTGATCTCTTTAGTGCATGACAAATAAAGAGATTGAGAGTTCTAAGCTATACATGCATTTATGTTATATAAAAATAAGAGAAGCTAGCAATTGTAGGTTGTTTTGTTTACACTGCTATTCTATCCACACCAACTGTAGCATTTAAGTTTTTAAATTTGGAAGGGGACTGGCAGATTATTTCCCATCTTTTCTAGTAGTATTAGTTTTTTCTCATACAGGTCAAAGAGTATGCATGTTTCCATTAATATTTAGATACACTATTTGATTGTTTCTCTCTTCTTTTGTTTTTCGTTGAATAATTTGCCCTTAATTCTTACCGGTTCTGCATAGCCATACAACGAGTTTAAATAGAAATGTTTTCCTAGCAGTTATTAAACTGAAATATGTTTTTTCTTCTATTAAACATGTGAGACATGATCAATTCGAATAATATTACTTGTTGGTTGATACTATCAACTTTAACAGATCTTAAAAATGGGTAATAAAACTTTAATCAACTCAAAGTTGCTTCGACTCAATCGCATTAGGAAAATACAACTTCCCACTTTTCCGATTAAAAAGTTAAATCACAAAAATACCGAACGCTGAGAAAAATTCAAAACGGAAAGTCCCTAATTTAATGGCAAAATCAAAAGCTCAAACTCATCAAACGAATGAATAACAACTATCATATTCCTGACTTGGTACAGGCATTTTCTTATGTAGAAAATAATGGATTAAACATGGTTTTATAGCCAGCTAAACCTCTCACTTGTATGACAGTCGCATAAAATTCCATTATATTGACAACGATGTGTGAACACAACAAAGGAGGTCCTGTTTCTGAGTCATTGTTGTGGATCCCTATAATGAAATGAATATTATTATCCAACAATTTATTGGAAATACAAAGTGATATTTTGGAGGCGGAAACACAAAGTCAAATTAATATACTCAATGCCATACAGCATTCTAAAAAAATTCCAATGGTCCATTTTCATATTACCGGCTTTTGACTTCGGAATTTAATTTTTTCGACAGGTTACTTTCTCTGTGGTAAGACATCCTGGACCTCGGTCAAGCAATAGCAACGTAAATAAGTAAATTCAAGATTTTAATCGGCACAATTTTGAAGGAAAGTTAACTGTTTAAATGCCTTCTATACATGACTTATTCATCGGAAAATAGTAAATTTCCCGCCAAATTGCACAGATCATATATTTGATTTTAATTTTTTGGGCTGCTCGTAATTGACCGAGTACCAGGATGTCCTACCACAGAGTAGGTAACCTGTCGAATAATTGTAGAACCCGGAGTCAAAAGTCGGTAATATGAAAATGGTCTATTAGATTAAAATACAATCTTGGTTCAAACTGACAACGGTTATGAATTTTTATATAGGTTTGACAAATTCTACCATCAGTTATTCATAATATCAGGGTCTATGCTACATTTGAGATTTGTAGTTGATTACTTTGCAATTTCACATACTGAAAAGTTTGATATACACTCTTAAGATACATGTGATATGTCAAACATTTATACTTGTTGGAATGTGTTAAGTTAAGATGCAAACTTGATGTTTTTATTGCGTTTCGTTTAACGAAACAAAACTATGAAGATATATCTTTTAATTAGTTGCCTCATGTCAATTGTTCCTTATTTTTATACCATAACAGGGGAAGGCCCCAAATTTTCCTCCCGTTTAATTTTTTCATGACTTATATTTACACTATTAAAAGGATATGGTCTAAGTAGCATCTGCCAAAGTGTTGTTGAAATTCACCGTTGCATTTAATGTTTATGGTATATTGAACATGACCAATTTTGGAGTACCCTAATCATTGTGTGTTTTCGCACATGTTCTCATTAGGAATACCCATGACTGTTGAAATAAGTCGTAGAAAAATAGTTTAAGTAAATCTGAAATGCCATGGCAACATTCGTAGCCTGAATGTAAATCAATGGTTTAAAAGTATCGATTGAGTCAAAAATTCTGGCAACCTAAAAAAAAACAAAAAAAATTTTTTTTTTCAAACTTTGCCAGAAAAAAAAAGTTTAATTCCGGCATAAAATTGACGAAACAATTATTGTTTACTAAACTTAAAAATCAGAAACTTCTATTGAATTTGATCATTTGAAATTTACAAAATAATCAAACAATTTTACAAAAAAAAGAAAAAGAAGAAATTTCTACAAAACCCTCTATAGAGTCTCATTTTGCATTCTATTTGTCTGTTCAACTGGACATTGTATGGTCGTAACATAACTGTTGTCAAGTATTTAATAAGGGAAATCAGTTATTTTAAGTATTATGGATGATTATCTTTAGGACGAGTTGGCATATTTTCATTAAATATGTGATAAAATTGAGAATGGAAATGGGTTATGTGTCAAAGAGACAACAACCCGACCATAGAGCAGACAACAACCGAAGGCCACCAATGGGATGTTTGTTTCATTACACTTGACTACAAAATGACCGTGTCATCGAACAAGCAGGCAGGCTTAATTGGATGTTTGGACATTCTGTTATCTAAGAAGTTTATTTGTGCTTATGTTTAGCATTAGATTGTTATAGAATTTTTAATCAAATAAGATCAAGAATATTGCGGTTGTTATTTGAAAACCAAAGACATACAGCCTATCTACTGATAGCAAAATACTAAAATCTTATACCTTCATTATTCAATCTATTTTTACCAAATCTTTCAAGATTTTATCTTATTGATCTAATTGATGTCAAGAGTAATTCCCCAAACTTCTCAGTCCATAGCTATTTTTTCCAAAGCATTTCATTTAGGAGCTTTTGATTTATGAATCTTGAAAGAAAAATGATTCCTTTATTCATTGATTGGTAGAGTCAAAATTTTGTTCAATTTTCTTAGATGCTCCTGCATCATTCTCATATTTCATAAATAAATGTAAACACTCATAATTTTTTATAAAATTGAGAATGAAAATGGGGACTGTGTCAAAGAGACAACAACCCAACCAAACAGCAGAAAACAGCCGAAGGCCACCAACACAGCGAGAAAATCCAGCACCAGGAGGCGGGCTTCAACTGGCCCTAAACAAAATATGTACTAGTTCAATGAAAATGGACGTCACACTAAACTCCAAAACATATAAATGAACTGAAATTAAAACACATACAAGACTAACAAAGGCCAGAGGCTCCTGACGTGGGACAGGCGCAAAAATGCGGCGGGGTTAAACATGTTTTGTGAGATCTCAACCGTCCCTCTATACCTCTAGCCAATGTAGAATAAATAAAGACACAGTAATACGCACAGAAGAAGTCCGAGTCCGATGTCAGAAAAGTAAACTTAAGAAACTACGCAATATGACAATGATACATAAATTAACAAGGGACTACTAGCAGTTACTGACATGCCAGCTCCAGACCTCGATTAAAGTGATTGAAATATTATGTCTTCTTCATATGAAAATCAAGCACAATCCCTCCCGTTAGGGGTTTAGAATCATAACATCATAAAATATATGAGAAGAACATAAACCGTATCATGCCAACAACTGGTTTTAGAACAAATGTGTTTATTTCCAATGCAAAGACCCTATGAGTGAATCAATGTTAATACAAAAATATGCCATCTTTAATGAACTGACAACAGTATCGTAACTATATCCCTTCCGAATAAGTCTGTTTAAAGGTTTGGTTAGCTTTTGAGGTGAATGTCGACATTTTTGTGTTTAACTTTTGTATAGAATATTACCATAAAAGTTTGGATGTGAAATACCTGAACGTACAAGGAGTCTGCATGTTGATTCATATTTACGAATGACGTCTTTGTACCGATGATAAGATTTAGTAAATGTTTTGACTAGTTTGTGATATCGAAAACCCTGGTGTAATAATTTTTCAGTAATACAGAGATTTCTTTCGTTAAAAACAAATACGTTGTTTCATACACAAGCGAATCGAACAAGTTGAGTTATATAAACTACATAAGATGGTGACAAGGGCACATCACCATCTAGAAATGGATAATTAACAATAGGAAATGAAAAACCATCTCTATTATCATAAATTTTGGTATTAAACTTCCCGTTAAAGATGTAGATATCAAAATCCATTTTATCACTATTTCATTTACTACACGTGAGATTCACATGAATTTAATTTCATCTGAAATTCATGTGACTGAAATAACTTTGTGTAACAAACAGATTTAATGTGAACATCCATGAGTGGTTAGCCAGAAAACTTGAAATTTGGGCAATACGTCAGCCTTTATGAAGACATTCGGAATCAATAATAATTGCATTATTTTATTACATATCGTATGGAATTTTATAAGGAGTAGATATAAGACAGATACAAATCTTCTACGTTATGATATAATGCAGTGCAAACAGGATGATGCGAATGTTGTCACAAGTAGAGTTCCAAATTTACTTTTTGGAGTTCGTGCTGCGCAAATTTATGTTTTCCTTGTATTTTCTTGTAAACTATTGTTTTCGTTTTATTACCATCTTGCTATCTTTCATCGAATTATTGCTTACATAATATTCATGATAGCGTATGTAATTCCTTCTGTAAACATAAACGAAACATAAAAACACAAAAAAATAAAGTTTAAAGGAGACACAGTGGAAATCAAACTAGTACAGCAAAAAAATAAGAAATCTTCATTTTATAAAAATTGAAATATTCAATACATTTTTTTTTCAATTTAATCAAATATTTCCAAATATGTACATATATATCTATATAGTCATCAGATAGACATGTAATTGGCTATTTCCTGTCAAAGGTCAACATTGAAACCTTTATATTGCAAAAATGATTTCCGCATTATTAGACAAAAATGAATATTGCAATTTATACCACATTATCAATTAATTTACTTCATTTTGAATCATGCAGAACTGTATCAGCCGAAGTAAAGTGCTTCAGATCACTTAGGTATGTGAATAAAGATAACTTAGCGCTTATCTGTTTGACAGTGTATTAATTAGATTCTCATGTGAATGTAAACTTAACCTAAAGTATCATGAGGTCAGTATTTCGATTTATTACAAACGAATCTAAAATTGTCTATTTTTAAATATTGAAATTATAAGGAAACTAAGGTGTCCACTCCCATGGGCCAAAGCTGATCTTAGACTGATTTTGGCTACTTTGCAAGTCCTTTTTGAAATAAAGCTCTTCAACTGTTTCGGTTCTTATAAATCTTTGGCTTTCAAATATTCGGCAATCAGACTTCTTTATGAAGTTAAATCTAACAAAAAGCTTCGGACGCATTAAATTGATAATTTGTTGTTTCATTTTTTTCAAGCTAATGAGGGAATGAGAAACTTAATACTAAAAAAAACTGTATTGAAACAAACCGTCATCCCTATTTAAAGATTTGTGTTTACAAAAATATACCTATCTATAAGTAGAACAATATTTTTTATAATCTAGACAAGAGTCGATATTGACAAGAAAGATCATTAGTATTAAGTATTTAAAAATTAATCGTAAACCTATTTCAAACCTTATCGGATATTTTGATTTATATCACTTAACAGATTGAATAACGTAAAATCAAATCATATTAAGTCTTGCGGTCAATTTTCAGACTTATCCACAGCGGTTAATTCGTATATGTAAGAGAATGATAATCCCTTTCTTCATGATTAAGTACGAGCGTTAGCGAGTACTTATCATGAAGTAAGGGATTATCGTTCTCTTACAAACTTAGAATATTGTAAAGTGCTCAAGGCTTAAATGATCTCTTGATTGGTTGTATTTAAGAATTAGTTTCATTGTCAGTGCAATGTTTGTAATTAATGCATGACTTCCTTTTTTAGGCATGATTTCATTTATGGATTAGTTTTAGTGATGTAAGGACCTTCTTATAATTTTGGAAAATATAATAAATTATGTTTTATACATTAGATGACACAACAGTACAATGATATCGTAAGAAATGTTTCCTGATTGTGAGTATGAATGTAAATCATGTAATATTTTAGCGAGGAATTATCTTTTTGTTTATTTCCATTTCAAATCAATAAATTCAAAATTTGAGTTACAAATAAATTTTATTTTACAGCCAATATTTTAGTCCAGTCCTTTACATCAAATACTACTTCATTATGTCAGGGAAATGTTCAAATACAATGCCTTTAAAATAGTTTGAAATATATTCAAAAGTTAAACTAAATTCCTTTTTTTTTTTAAATTTTATCAGAATATTAGAAATTACTATTCTCACCAACCGCGGATCCAGTAACCAATGTTACTGCACCAGTAAACTTCATTTAATTTTGATTTTTTTTTTGTTTGTCTCAAAATTCAACTTTTAGTCAGTTTTAATCACTAATTCTTTCAAGCTAATAAATGTGCTTCAAAACATTTGTAACTCATTTATAGAAACTCTTTGTTTTGAACTGTAAGTAGGCTTAAACAATAGGATAATCCCTTACTAAGAACATGATTTCATTCATTCTTCACAATTAAGAAACACCAAATCCTACAATTTCATTGGTCGAGAGCACTTTGCTATATTCTAAACTACTGTAGACAATTAGCCTCAAGTCAATTATGACCTGTTTTTAATGTACTTAGATTGTGCAGAATTAAGTATCATTATGTATTGCAAATATGTTGCTCCTTATCAAATAACGAAAACGATTGTAGGGTTTATATGTCGACGATATATATTTGTAGGTATACCTCAATACAAGTGTGGCTACAATTATGGCAAGTCTTGATATGAACGGTGTCTGCAGAACTTAATTTCGGGAATATCGAACCATTCTGCCAACAAAACAAATTTCCTTAACCACAAAACATTGAAATCTAGTTTTAATGAACCGCTACCTCTTGGTTCCTAAAAATCTAACTTCAAATATAATTCAAATTATTAGAAATAACAAAATGTTTCATTTTGCAGCAAATTATCATGTTGCTCGTTAAAATATAGCCAGAAAAGCACTTTGGCTTCAAATTTTTGCATAGAATACCGTAATTTGACCTATAATGATTTACTTTTACAAATTGAGACTTATACGGAGAGTTGTCTCATTGGCACTCATACCACATCCTATATCTACATAGATGATACCCCTTTTGATCAAATATCTCCTCACGTATTCATATACCTATAAATCCTTGATTCTCAGTTTTTGGCGGTTTGAGAGTTCCTGGTGACAATTCAGAAACGGTTTTGGATAAATGTTTCATAACGAAAAACTAAAGATAAAGTTCAAATTGAAACAAGATTAAACCAGGGTACAAAGTGTATGTTCCCCTCATTGATAATCGTTTCGTTTTTATTGTAAATGTTGTCCACAATTCATGTTGAAAATTGTAACAAGAACAAACCATTAACTATTTAGCAGTGCGTATGTACATGTATTTTATTGCAGCGATGGAAAAAAAGCATGGTATTGTTGTGATAACTATGAAGACATTAACGGAACTTGTGTTGGTGAGTTTTCTTTTATTCAAAGACGAAGATACAAGGTGTAATGCAGAATGATATATTGGCAACCACTGGTGTTTAATGCATGAATCAATAAAACTGTAAATAGAACATATGCTTAAGCTAATATGCATTTGCCTGTGCTGGAACATGTCTTTTTATCTTTTTTGTGAGTTGTCCTTATGACAATTTGATATCAACAGACGATTATTAAAATACACCATTATAGGTCAAAGTACGTTCTTCAACACAGAGCCTTGGCTCACAAAAAACTGCAAACTAAAAAGGGCCCCAAAATGAGTATTGTAAAACCAATCTAACAGGAATGAAACCAACGGTCTAATCTATATAAAAAGCGAAAAAACAAGAAACACTTAAGAACCATTTCAAAATACGACAACCACTGAACAAGAATTATGTTTTAAACACATTATTGAGCTTCAAGCTTTTCATAACATTTAAAACAAAACAAACCAAAATCTTTAGCAAAGTCCCTTCATTTAGCATATAGATATATTGATTATATCTTATACCGCAAAAATGTATAAGTAGTTTCATCCTTTATTTGACATTTACAATGGTACAGAAACAACAAACTGTCTTTCATTTACCAATGTCGAATAAAAGGGATGAAAGGGATGACTGGTGAATAGATAAGATTTACATAGACCGATATAGTTGCCCTGTCAATTTATATGTCTCACTCCTTTTGGGATTTTGTTTTTTCTGCTGTGAGTTCAATGATTGTCTGAATTATAATTGGAATGCTGATATTTTTACTACATCTTGATTCTGATTCAAATGAATGACATGAATATCAATCATATGGTCATTTTTATAAATTTACTGTTTGAACTATTCGAAATACTAAGGATTTTCTTATCTCAGGCATAGATAACCTTGGTCGTATTTGGCAAATTTTGGAATTTTGGGTCCTCAATGCTCTTCAACTTTATATTTGTTTGGCTTTCTAACTATTTCGATCTGAGCGTCACTGGTGAGTCTTAGAAAGACGAAACGCGCGTTTGGCGAATCAAATTATAAGCCTGGTACCTTTGATAACAAACAAAACAATAATTTGCAAAAATTAAACATGTCTGGAAAACGTTGCATGAAAATTGGCTTGTAAATGTACTACCATGCTTGAATCATATAAATAAATAAATAAATATCAGCATCGGAAAGAAGGCAATGCTGATAACATATATCGCTTTCATTTTTACAGCATGTACAGACGGCTATATATCAGACAATGGGGAAGCGTGTCGTCCGTGCACAAAAGGATTATATGGTCGAAAATGTGGTGAAGTTTGTGCTTGTGAAAAGTTTCAAGAGTTAGTATTTTATGCTAATTTAAAATTATAAGAATATTTAAAACATAATCCCTTTATATCGACATTAACTAATAATGTTAAGGGAGTTGGTTATTAATAATACAGAAACAAAAAGTAAATTACAAAAATGTTAGCTCAACACACACACACAGCCACCAAACATGTGTACATGTTCAGAACATTACCAATTGATTACTTTAGCTACATAGTACGATGCATTTTAATAATATTGAAACAAAAAGGATGATTTTAGGGAGGAAATACATAAAAAATAAAAATTATCTTTAGACATTTAATTGAATTCCGCTATTATGTTTTTTTTTAATTTTTGCTACACAGGTATGGAAACAAGAACTATAAGAATTAAACACAAAACCACAGCAATACCTTAATAAGGAAAGTTTGCAAGTCAAACTACAAAATAATTGTATTTCCATATGATAAACAAGATTGTCTAGACTAAGAGCTATATAAAATACGAAAAGCTATTACTCTTGCTCGGGTATTATAACTACAATATTTGATGTGTATTCTCTGTTCCTTCCGTTGATTTCATGGAAAGACGTAAACCTATGTGAACGTTTGTTAAAAAGTAAGTTTTTCTGAGGAAACGCAATACAATTTCTGTATATTATAATTTGTTGATGACATAACTATTATTAACAAAATCAATATTCGGCCAAAATATCTGTTTACCAAACAGATATTTTGGCCGAATATTGATTTTAGTTATTAACAAAATCAATATTCGGCCAAAATATCTGTTTGGTAAACAGGTGTATGAACTGCGACCTGCTTTATTGTAATGTGTACTGTTTCTTCATTTATTACATTACATTTTTGTTTGCATAGATGCAACCACAAAGAGGGATGCAGAAATTTTTCAGACGTCGTGACAACAGCAACGTTTTATGGTAATTGTTATTAAATTATTTTTAAATAGAAACATCTTATACAGTTCTTTCAATATATTATAGCATTGCTTTTAATGAATTTCTACTATGTTCTACTGAAAACAATAGGTAAATTCAACATTTGATTATCTCATCAAATAAAACAGGTTAAAAGGGCAAAATACATTACAAAATTGAAGAACATTGATGACCCAAGTTCCGAAAGGTTTCGTCAAATACAGCTAGAGTAACCTTATTCCTGGGATAGTAGTACAGCGAAGTTTAAGTCGGTGCGACTTTATCCATCAGCAACATATGTCCACAAAACAAAACTCCAGGTACACAAGGAGACCTTGCTTTAAGACGGTTCACATGTTCTTTATTGTGAGCTAGAGCTAGTTTCGACCTTGGCGTCTTATTTTTAAAATTACTTCGTTGATGAACTTATCACTACAAAGTACTTCCAAAATCTTCGTTACCGTGAAAACAAAGAGTTGTTAAAATTTCCAATTTCTAAAAGGTCTCTTTTGTGGAGCTGTCTGACGGGCTTCAAAGTCGATAGAATAAGAGGTCAATGTATTCAGGTTAATTCAAGTTATGTGGTACAATGGGTAAATGTCTGGTTAAAATATATCTTATCTTTGATGTGCCGCATTAGCATCCCTATTAAATAAGACAGTCCGTGCGTGACCCATGACATACGATATTGTATGCATTTCATTGGCCATTTTCTAACAAATCCAGACTATGCTATATCAATTAACGTGTCTGAAGACGAATTTGTGTAAAATATTTTTGTTTGATTCTAATCTCTGAAAATTTGAATAAACTGAATGAGCTCTTGAACATATCTGTTCGGGCGTGGGGTTGGGCCTATATTTTTGTGTAAATTCGGGATTTACACTTATTGGGACTCGGGAATCAATGATTAATTTTTCAGGATTCGGCATAAAATGCTTTATTTTTTCGGGATTTCGGTATTCAGCTTTTGTTTTTTTTCCTGAAATTCGGGATGACACCCCTCCTACCCTCTCTCACTCTCTTCAGCTGGCAATGTTGAGGAAAAAGGAAAATCATCCTGTATGAGAATTTGAATTTGTTAAATATTTGCAATTCTTATAAAATCACAAAACCTGCAGATTTTTTGTATTTCTTTATGTAGATTGACTACAAAAAGGGGGTGTATACGACTCCCCAAACTTAATCTGCAATTCATGTTCGTTACTCAACACTTTTAATACCGAAACAGTTAGAGATATTAATATATATATTTTTTTTCAAATGCGTTTTGTTTAAATATAATTTTTCACTGTTTTGGTCTTTTGGAAAATGTTTTTTGTGCTGTATTTAGACCCCTCTACCAAGAAATTTGTTTCGCATGCACACGTATAGAAATTGCGGTTTTTATCCAACGCAATCATAGGTTTGAACGTTGTTTTCAATTTAGACTTATTTTTTTTTTCGAATACTGGTTCCCAACTAAATGTCTAAATATATCTGGAATATTTTCCCTCATATTGACAGCTATCTGAAGTCAGTTCATAGTAACTGGGGATCCTGGCCCACTGCTCGACAGGATCGGTTCAGGACGCCAGGCTAAGTTCATATGACCTCAGTTTAATATAGGCGTGGCAATTCATCACTTTTATCCAATCAACTGTCCTTTATGATAAAGATTGGCGTGCGATTGTAGTCAAAACAATGTAATTTATATAATGACATTGTAATAGTTTTAGGACACAGTTACATCAACATCAAAAGGTAATGTACTTTATTGTGGAAGCTGTGGACTACTGGTTCAAAATAAAATTTATTTCGAAAAGTTGCTTTGTATAACCACTGTCATGATGTTGGGTGTATAAAGATCTTGAAAAAAATCCCTTTTATAAAATTTTGAAGTGAGAAAATACACGTAACAAATCAAATCTACAGCTTTTTTAAGATGTCACTGAAAGATGACTTTTATAAGGCATTAACTTCGTTACATGAGGCATATGTAAACTCAGTAAGCATCCAGGTCTTCCTCCTTTTGCAATATTAAGCTTTACACAATAGTTAACCATGTCCCCGCTTTCGCCGGAGTAGAATCCCTGTACCTTGCATTTTGTGATTTACGTCACAGGCATGCCAGAAAAAAACACTCTACAAGGACGTTTAGTTAAATGATATTGGTACTATCATTATATAAGCCAATCATTACTGTTTCCTGTTCTCATTGGTATTTCAAACAATAATCAGGAATATAGGTTTTCTAAGATTAATTAAAAATAAACATTTACATGGCAAAAAAAACACTAATCTTATACAAAGATTTACTATTAGTAACGACATACATCTTGCTCCGATGATAAAATGAAAATGATATAACAAGCTAATGTTCACCTCCACCATACATATTGATATAATTTTGTTTTTGGCATTTCATTTGTTAAGCCCCTTTAAGTAATATAGCTCCTGCCTTTCGAATCTTCAAGTTGACGCGTTCCTAAGGAGTAAATTTGGAACGTCTCGGAAGCATAGACTTTGTAAAGTCTTATTTTCAGCAGTAATATTTGATTTATTTTACAGAAGATTTGAGTACCCCTCGCCTATTATTAATGTCAAGTATTAACCCAGACACAAATGAAGGTAAGTCAAAATCATAATTATGAATTACATATTGTTTGTCACAAAATATTTTTAAATTAAAAAAAAAAAAACAGCTTTCCTTTACACAGCGTTCTCCTTTTCAGATCAGTATCCTACGTTTATCTTTTCAGTTCATAACAAATAAGGTTTAAATAGAACCAAATGAATATGAAACAAAAACAATGCAATATTTGGAAGATTCAGTAATTAGATACAAGTAGATATTATCTTCAATGTTCGATATCGGTATTTTCATATTTTTCCCTCCATTCGTATTTATATTTTGATCACTGTATGCTGAGATCGTGTTTTGTTCTAATGATTTAGTTCACTTTTATCGAGTGTAGACTAGGTCTTTTTGAGTGATTTTACGTACGATCAGATCGATTTACTGCTATTTCACGAGTATAGAAGTTTTTTTTACTGTATAACTTATAATGAATACTATACATGTTTTGAGCACAAACGACGACAATTTTCCTGTAGTTCACTTACAATTAAGTGTCTTATAATGTCCCTGTTTTTGTTTCGAAAATTTTTAGTGTGAATGTTTATTATTATGATCGATTAATTATAATTGTACATAAAGTATTTTAGCGTAATTAATTTTGCATACGAATGATGAAAACTGCATTATTTGTCCTCGGATTGTCCTACGTGGATTTGTTTGTCGCAAATATCGTTAATTTGTATTTTTTAATATGAAGGGTTAAAATAATTGTCTATTACCTCCTTTTGCTATGTGATTAACCTATGTGTTACTAAAGATATGTATTTAAACTCTTTGTAGGAAAACTAAAAACAGAAATAATTATAGTTATCTGCACCTGCACAATTTGCTTGTTATTGATAATATGCATGATTTGGTTTCGACATTACACGAAACAAAGATTGTTACCCGAAAAAGGAGCAAGGAATTCTGGAAGCAAATCTACTGAACTTGGTGAATTAAAAACCTTAAATGCTTGTGGAATGTATGATTATATAGACGAATCTAAAATTTGCGACTTAGTTAGACTGCCTTCAATCGATCAAACCCAAAACAGAAAAGAAGGAGATCAACTTACAAATGAATTTTCCGACGACGATGACGACGAAGACTACAGCGACGACACCGAAAACAACAACGATGAAACAGACAAAACGCTTGATGATGGTTATTTGAAACCTTATAATATGCTTAAATCGTCTGAAGCAAATCATAGATATAGCAGAACTGGCGTTGCAGGTAGTAGAACGTCTTCTGATGCAGTTGGTCGCAATACTACAGATGAAGTATTGCAATTGGCAAGTGACGAAATATCGAGCGAAAAAGGACAGAAGGACATGTCAAAATATATCAGTATACATGAGCCTGACGTACTCACTGTGGATGTTCACTGTCCAATATCCATGCATGAATCGGTTCCTGATACACAACCTACTATTGATATTACAAGCGACATAGCGTTTTCCTTAGTTTGAAATGAGTATTGGTATAACTGGGCATAGACTATAGACTAATGTATGCAACTTTCACTCTCACATCTCAGTTAATGCATATTAATTTTATGTTTGAAAAATAGAAATAGAAATGTGTTAACCTTCTAAACATTTCTTTTTAAAAACACGTCATGGTTGCACTTTGTAAATACAGCTGTTTCTCAAACCACGCCTCTTTTGGGGAGATATATAATATTCATAGATAATTTGATTTGTTTACGTACTGGTTCCCAGATATGATCTATATGTTTCATCTCATAGAGACATAACTTGGGACTGTTACCAGTATAAAAACATATTATGTCGGTTAAAATTAAATTCGGAAGTAGGCACAAAGTGAAGGTAGGAGTAGAAAAAAATTTTAGTATAAGTTTAAACTCTTACAAGTTCGGGGCATATAAATGTTGAAAATATGCCGCACAACCCTATGTTTTGACCTTTGAATAAAATAGTAGTGCATATCAACTTTCCATTCTATGATATAATTTTTTACGAAGCTTCATAGTAAAAGTGGCACAGTTTTAGCCGCAAAGGGGGTTCCTATGGGAAATTGCATTGTCTATATTTACAGAAATGCAATCTCATAGAAGTAACTAAAAAATGTTGGAGTAAGGCCATCAATACAGCAAACTAACGACACTCCTAATCATGATTAAATGCTATGATGAAAGCTTTTTAGGTAAAGACTTAACTTCAAATATCACACAGACCTAACAATATCAATGATTCCTGTAAATGAGGTAAATGTCTGCTGAACCCTATAAAGTGGACATGCGATCATTCCATATATCAAATATATGTTAACCACTTGCTTATGTTTTCGTTATAATTATGTCTATCTGAGATACTTTAAGCAACTTTTTATTATTTAAGATAAAAAGAATTCGTTTTCATTAATTGAAAGTTTTATTAAGTTTGTTTATTAAGTAATGTTGAACCAATTGCTTATTGATTTTGATGAAATGACTAATTTATATAAATCGTTGTATACATATTCTTTCCTTTCAGAATGAAAGACATTTTTCTTTTTTTTTCTTTTTTTTTGAATCCGGACGATACCAAGTTTCAATAACATTGGCTTCAAGGAATAAAATAATGACTTTTGAACAATTTCCTGCACATTTTTGTAGAAAATGATATTTTGCAAGGGTATATAGGTCAGATAATGCATGTTTTTGTTTTGTTTTTGACGTATAACACACCTGGTGGTGTCATCAAGCAAATCAAATCTTCGAAAAATGCATTTTCTATATCATATTCTTTGTTTCTATCAATCATTTCAAAATTATTGTTGCATTACTATTTAAATCAGGTTATGTTAACTTCTCGACTTACAATGTACTCGACCATACACAAAAATGTGCATTTAAACGACAACATTAAAGGGTTATATTTAATTTTTTAGATATCGGTCTGTTGTTGTCCATGTTTAATGATGCAAACTATATTTATATCTTATGATTATTTAAGCAGTACATTACTATTGCATCTTAATTTAGACATGTATTTGAACAATTTCAAATTAAGAACCAAAGTGTTTGATTTATCATCAACATAGCAAATAAACTATTTCAAAACAAAAACGAAACTGTAACTATTTTCGGCGAATAAAAAGAGTACCTACAGTTTGTGTATGCGTTCATTTATTCACCTGGTGTTATTTTTTTTAAATATCTGGAGCTCATTCTTATTCTGTTTGACGAATAAATTAGTACTCACCTCTAACATTCTTTAACAGCCACCTATTTTATCAGTACAAAAAGAACGACAATCATGTCCTACCTTATAAATAAACTCATCATGGATACAAGGATTTAAATTTTGTATTTGTGCCAGACACGCGATTCGTCTACAAAAGACTCATCAGTGACGCTATAAAGGGTATTATCTTGTTTATCGAGGACTCAGTTCGTCGGTCATAGAATAAAATAGAAGAAAAGGAATCAGATGATCGTAGAAAGACTGAGTAATATAGTAAGGTTTATTGAAGAAACGTTCGGAAGTCTGTTACTTAACATTAATTTTTTTAATAAAACTTTCAAGTTTTATATTCATGATGTTTTTGTATGTGTTTCAATGATATTCAAACTGAAAGGGTTTTCTTTTTGTCAAGAACATCAAAGCCGGAGCTGTGAAAGGTAAAATGATTCGAATAGCTCTTACTCTCACAACGAGAGGGAACAATATTTCTAATATATTAAGAAAAAAAATTGAAACAAAACGTTATAAATTCCATGCGTACGAAGCGCTTTTCTGAATCTACTCTCATCAGGAACGCCAAGGATGTATAAGAACCGATAAAAATTGAGAGCTATATATGACCAAAAAGGACATAAAAAATAGTCAAATCCGTCTTAGGTCAAATTTGCTTGAGGGAGTTGAAACCTTTGTTTCTTTATAATTTAAAAATTTATAAAAGGACAATTTTAGAACTGTTTGTTAATACTGAGCTGATGATACGTTCAAGGTCTGATAGTTCATTAACAGATGTATACTAGTGCTGTAAAAAATGAGAACAACACGTTATAAATTTCATGCGTCCTAATCGCTTTTCTGGATTTACGTTTATCAGGTAACGCTCGGGGGACATGAACAATTTAACGTCTTGACGATAACGCGTAAAGTATGTAAAAGTTAAATGCTGTTAGTTACACCCAAATTCAATATGGATCTTAATATTTCTAATCTGATTTACTGATGAAATGGGAAATGAGCAAGTTTGGAGCTGTGACAAGTATAAAGAATCCCAAAAATTCGTCAGTACTCATATTTTTTCTTGATTTATTCATTCACTGTTCTACATACTCGTCAACAGTGTGAACAAACCGCTCCCATTAATATGTTATTGATAGAAATTCTGCTTTTGACAAACCCGTGTAATTACTATATAGAAATTCTGCTAAGGACAAACTCATGTATACTACTCTTAAATATAATGAATTGCGTACTTTTTTCCATAAAGATTTCGCCAATTAAGGGTTTGGACGCTATCAATATAATCAATATTTTCCATTAAAATACATGGAGAAATCAATAACGGAATACCTCAAGAATAAAACTAAATAAAGGCAGCAGTAGTATATCGCTGTTCGAAACTCATAAATCGATAGAGATAAAAACAAATCCGGTTACAAACTAAAACTGAGGGAAACGCATCAAATATAAGAGGAGAACAACGACACAACAAAAACACAACATTAAAATGTAACACACACAGAAACGAACTATAATATAACAATGGCCATTTTCCTGACTTGGTACAGGACATTTTAAGAAAAAATGGTGGGTTGAACCTGGTTTTGTGGCATGCCAAACCTCCCGCTTTTATGGCAATGTTAAATATAACATTAAAATGTCAACATTACATGACATGACTACAATACAAATAAATGGGAGAACATATAGGACAAAGAAACACACGAATAATAGCTAACAAAAGGTACTAGGTTTAGAATTTAATACGCCAGACGTGCGTCTCGTCCACACAAGACTAACCAGTGACGCTTAGATGAAAAAAGTTTGAAAGCCAAAACAAGTACAAAGCTGAAGAGCACCGAGGACCAAAACTTCCAAAAAGTTGCGCCTAACACGGCCAGGGTTTTCTGCCTGGGACAAGAACATCCTTATTATTTAGAATAATATATACTTTTGCAAACAGTAAATTTTATAAAATGACTATATAATAGATATACATGATAAAAACTAAACCAGGTATATTCAAAACACTGTATTTAGAATATTGCACCAAAGAACTTAGAATTCGTAACACACATTGGAATCCCATGTTTATCCCTAAATCATTTACGACGGATTTGTGTAAATCACAAATCAGTCCTGTTCTCCTTCGGTATTTACAAAAAAGGGACGATGACAGTATCCCATCTTTATCATGATACATTATCTTCACAATTTTGTTTTTTTTTTATAAAGAACGCGATAAAGTCAGGTCATCAGGGTTTTTGATTAAATATTTTCTGAATTTCTTTCAACAATCTTTATACAGCAAAGGCTGGGATTTAAAACTATTTGGTATTTTCAATAAGAGGTATCAATCAGATGAGGATTATTATTAGTTCTAAAGATTCACTTCAAAATCTTCAATAGGAATCTTTGCCACATTGCAGTAATATCAAAACCTTTGATTTTTCTACGCTCTACGCTACTGGTTCCCATTCTCAATTAAAAAATGAAAACAGCACGTTATAAATTTCATGTTTCCGAAGCGCTTTTCTGGATTCACCTTCATCAGGAACGCTCAAAGCCGAATATTTGAAAGCCAATGATTTATAAGAACCGAAACAATTGAAGAGCTATATGACAAAAAATAAACTAAAAAATAGACAAATCCATCTAAAGCCAACTTTGCCTGAGGCAGTTGAAACCTATGTTTCTTTATAATTTCAAAATCAAAAGTTCGACTATATCGTATCATGAAACAGACTTTTTGCTAAAATATAATAGGAAACGTAGATACAATTTAAAAACCAATTGTCCAGAGAACAATTGAAGATCTTTCAACCATTGAATTTCGAAATCATTGATAACAAGTCACATCCAGTTTACTCAAAGTCATTTGACCTTGACCTCAATTTCAAGGCCATAAAGGGAGGATCTCGAATCAATTTACCTTAGGTCTCTGCTATGTATGGTTAATGATTTTTATCTCCAGGGGAGAAAATTCCTATCAAAATGGATAGTACACTTCATGAAGTTAAAATTTAGATCGTGCCCTTGACCTTTGACCTTGACCTAAAATTCGGACAAATTTACAGACCATCCTGGGGATATAACGAGCAGTTTAGAAAAATAAATTTGTCGATTTCTTTTACAGTTTTGAAGGAGTAGACATAACAAAAAAAACAGTGTACGGGGAGATAACTCTCACCTGAGTGTATGGTTACACAGGGTCAACTGTGAAAGCGTATTTATTCTTTGCTATTATGTACCAAAAGTCTTTTCGATATCTTGCGAAAAAAAAACAAATCTCAAAATCAAAAAGTGGCGGGAAAAAAAACAAAGTAATCAGAACAAAATCTAAAGGTCTTTCCATATTCCACAGGAAAATTATCAAATCACGGTAAAATGACGAGAAGTTATATCCAGTGCCTATACATCGTGGATTCTGTAGATAACAGTTTTTTTTTTTTTCAAATGATACGATTGAAATGAATAATTGATTACAATAAAAAAAACTTTTTATTTTTTTCCTTTTAACAACGCCATTTTCTTTCAAAATTAAAACAACTGAAATAACAACTTTTGAACAAGCTATATAAACAAAATGTAACTAGAGGTATACACAGACCGGTTTGTGTTTTCATAATGGAATTTGAGAAAGAAGTTATATTACTGAAGTGTCAGAGAGTCTCTGGACATTTCTCATTAAGACACTAATTTTATTATTGATGAGTGTATTCGAATACAACTTCTAATACGGAACAGTGAAAAGATAATGTTATTCAAACTTATTTTAAGATATGTTCGGAATTTAACAATAGATAACCCAATTTAGACATTTTGAAGGAACCTTGTCATTAATAGTCTATGTGGTCATTGGATCAATATCAAAACTTGGTAAGAAAGTGGCGATTTAAAATGTAAATCATATACGTTTGCTTGCAAAGTTTTGCTTTTTTTTTAATACTGCGAATACCATTTTATTTGATATGAATTTGAGGACAATTTCGTTGAGAATTTGGTCTTTACTTGCGCCTGCTACTGCTAATGCTAGAGTGTTGAATATATATTGCATCAAAGCTTAGATAAAATTATTTTTGTACACTAGTCACGAGTAGGTTAACAGGGTGTCTGAAAATACTCTTAATTATAACGTGTTCAAGTCTACTGCAATTGCCCTAGGTCTCTTTCAAATTCGAGTGACATAAAATCATCTATTCCTACAGGGACTTTGTTAGTATAGAAAGTCCCTGATTCCTATAGATCTAACGTTTTTTTTTTTTTTTTTATAAGAGACTAGGTGGGCCTCTGTTAATCTATATGATAAATTGATGTGTTGGTCCTTTGCCGGCATGGCAGTAATATCAAAGATATGAGACTTTGAAAGAACTGATTAAAAAATATATAAAATAATGATGTTATGGTATTTCATATGATCATAAATGTAAGATATGATTTATAAGCTATATAATCTCATCCACCTGGTGTGAATTTTAATCTTAATTTGCATTTACATGTTTATGGGTTATGAATGAGAATGTATTGTGTTACAGTATTATCTTCATTATATCCATTCAGAGGGCCTTAATGAGGCTTGTATAGGGTATATTGGGATACGGGATATTTGCCATTTTAATTTTAGGGATATGGGATATTTATCCTAAAAATAAATGGGATATGGGATATTGATACATTTTTAGGGATATTGAATTTTGAAAATGAAAAAAAAAATGTGGAAATTAAAAGTTAAGTACAGAAATATTCACATCGCACTTGATAAAATAATTTACTAGAAAAGGTTATTTAAGTGCTTTGTTGACTTTCATTGAGTTTTGTTATTATAAAACTCCCATGCAACCACGCATCCCATATTGCATGATTGGACCCAACACTATTGATCACTATTTTAGTGTTTCGGCAGTTAAAACTTGGGATTAGAGGCTCTGGCTTGGGATGGTCATTTTAGATGCATCACTAGTTTTAATATAATCAATTATGAAAATTATTCGTGTATATATTGATATATTTATATTTTAATTCTTCATCAATAGATCTAGTTATTATGACAGATCTGCCATCATCAGGGACCCAACTGTCAATTTTATGTTAAAGTCTTTAATTTTGATCTAATAAGCATATCTCCAACACTTTTATGTTTGCAATACGCAACTATTGGTGCAGCATTGAATATTTGTACACAATCTTCGTCAAACTGTAAAAAATGCCAGTGTTTCATGATATGTTTCTTTATTTTACGTATACATGTATATGGGTTATATTTAGTTATTTAAACCAACGGAATATTTTCTTTTTCCTTCGATTTATTTTGCTGTAATAATTCAGTACGGTCAATTGATAAAGCATCAGTAATACTATAATCTATTTCGACGTTATTATAACCCCTATCTAATAATTTCACTTTGAAATTAGATTGTTTATTAATTTGTTATGGTCACTTGTGTTTCTAATTTGCCGTATTGCTTCACCGGAATACATGCTGTGAGTGACAGCTATTTCTATGCAGATAGAGATAAGAATTTGTTTCATTAAAATGTATTTCAAGGTCAAGAATGCCATGTGTTGTAAATCTTTTACCTTCAATTACATCAACATCTAAGAACCACATTTTGTTGTTTGAGATTTCATAGGTGGACTTCAATATGGGGTAATAATTATTTGCTAGACAAAACATTTTCTGTAATTTCATCTGATGTTCCTAGAAAAATCCTATTGCACGAGTTTGCTATCTATTTATATCTATATTTATGTTTATAAATCGATTATATGAGCGTCGGCAGTCTTCGGAGGTCAACTCGGTAGTTAATTAGATGGCGTCTAAGACTAAAATATGCACGAAACGATGAAACATATTATCGAGCACATGCCTTGTAAATTGTTTATTTTAGACTTTTTATAATTTTGATATACGTTTTAGTATGTTATAAATCATATATGAGAATTTGAGTCAAATCGTAGAACGTGAATTTGACAGCCAATGCCCCTTTAAATGAATCTAATTGGCAGTAATGTTGAGTATTTAGTTGTCTTGTGACTTCTGTTATGTAGTCTAGTCTGTCTGAAATAACACAATTTGAATTTTTATCTGCCTTTTTTTATTACTATTGTTTCATCATTTTTCAAATTGCGTAATGCTATTCTTTCGCCCTTAGTAAGATTGTTTTTTTTTAACAATTTTTCTATTGGTAGAAAAGACAATTCAAGTTTTGTTAAATCGATATAATTTTCCAACGTATGGCACGTAGAAGCAGGTTTATATCCTGTATTGCTACGAAATGGATGAAGGTCATTTTTTTCTTCATGGCTTAACATATCGCAGTTGTCTAGCAAATTCATTGTAGTCTTTTAGTATAGACTTTTTTGCATTTTTGCTTGATGGCGTTGGTATAAATTTCAAGCCTTTCGCCAACATGATATATTCCTGATTTGATAATTCGCGTTTTGATAGATTAACTACATGCTTTTTTGCATGTGCAGCTCTTTGCTGCATATTTTATTCATTCCGTTCTTTTTTATTGCAGAATCAGATTTTTTGCTTTTTAGCATTTCTATTTATATTTGAGTTCACATTGGGTGATTCTCTTAGCTACGTGCCTTTGTTGAGCTCACATTTGGTGGCTCACGCTTATCTCTACAGAAACTTTTTATTTATCCACTGACGTTACAAACGCTTAATTATATATTGGTTATTCCAGAGACATCTAGATTAAAATTTAAAGGTCTTTGGTTAATTCTGAATGCTTAACTTTTCTCCATGCTTAACTTTTCTCTGTGAAAAAGCCCACATCCTTGACATCCTTACTACAATGCATACACGTATTTCCGAATGTTGTATACAAAAATGGGTTTGGGAATGAATTAATGATTTTTTGGGATATTTCAAAATAGTTTTAGGGATACGGGATATTTGTAAAAACAAATTATTGGGATATTAGGGGTAAACATTATAGGGATATGGGATATTGGAATAAAAACTTAATGGGGTATGGGATATTGATACCCCCCCTAAACTAGCCTCCTTAATTGGAAAATAAAGTTTGACGTTAGAACTTTTACATTATTTTTCATGTTGTATAAGTTGTGCACTTGGATTTCGCGCGATCATTTACTATCGAATAAAATACTATAATTATACTACATTTTGTGATAGTATGAAAATAATCTACTAATTTTTTTTACGCACGATTATAAGGAGAGGAATTTGTATAAGTGACTTGTCACTTGTTTTCCAATCCATGTATTGTATTGATGTACGTATTTATTTATTTGTTTCAAAATAAGATATTGTTTACACTAATCTATAATTTTTCGTTTTAAATCATATACTCTCATACTACCTTTTCATTCCTTTCATTGTGTAAAATGAAACATGATTAAATTGCTAAACTTGTGTACTGAAAAGGGACAATTTTACCTTGGACTATACCTTTCTTATTTCCGACTAAATAATGGCGGTGTGCCTTGTAAAGGAAAAATATGCGTTCACAGACATGCTGGCTCTACGTGTATCGCGATTAGATATGTGTACTTCCCCTAACCCATGAAGTCTCAAGTCAGATGGTGGTGTTTATTTCTGGTTACGAGGTGTAAAATGTAAGATTTCTGGTTTAACATTACTATCTGATGGAATATTTTTGTTAATTCAATCAGAGGGATACAAATTATAGTAGAGTGGGGTGCTCATTTTCGCCATAATTTTCCATGTTTTCTGCAGTTTATGTTCAGGTCTTTATGTTTTTGAAGTATACTGATATTTCTATATGAAGATAACATCAAAAGCAAAATATTCCTAGCTTGAAAACGTGTTTCTTTGAAAAAATTCATCTGAAAAGTTAGATTAAAGGCTATTTGAAATTTCCTGATGTTGACGTCATTGGGGGACACATATTCGCCGTTTTTACACATCTATTTAAAACCAAATAACTGCAGCTTTAAACAATATTTATCAAATCAATTTCATTATAGATGAATAGCAGACATTTTAAAGGTGTAAAGAACTGAAATTTAGGGCAATCAGTCAAAGAATTACTAAGAAATACTTCTTTGAAATCGTGTTTTTCATTCAGGAAATTGGCCGAAAATCGTTGTCCGTTTTCCAGTCCTTTGTGGTAAGTGCCTAAATTTTGTCAAAGTTTAAAAAATAATCATATTTGTTATAAAGATATAATTTACCGGCATATTTCTTCCATTTCAGCCATCCTGTGAAGTTTTTACACCTCGAAATCATAAAACGGCGAAATTGTGTCCCCGGCGAATATATGCGCCCCACTCTATCTTCTTTTTCTGATATGACATATCACCTTCCTTGATATCAAATTTGAAGTCGATCCTTCTAAGATATTTTATTTTATAAAGTAATACACTGTCTTGTAGCCATTCCATCGCATATTCTTGAACAAACAGACAGCAGAACAAGACAAAACCATACTCAGACATACAGACACATCCAAACTTCCAAGGACACATACAAATGGTCGTACTTCCCGCGAACAATTATTCAATGGAACTTGCTACCACAAACTGTTATTGAAACCACCACTGTTGACAGCTTTAGAGATCAGCTAACACCAGCTGTTCTCTCTAGCTTCAAATAAACAAATCCAAACCAAAACATGTACATTAATTGCATATTTTTTAATCACAATCTGTATATACAAACACTTAAATTGTTATTAAATATTTTTATTAATTTATATAAATATTTTGTCAATCACGCATGCGCAACAACATGTATTCTTCAGTATTGAAGCCTTGTTGACCTAAAAGAAGAGGAAGAAGAAGAGAAGAACAAGAAAGTTATTAGCATTTTTCATATCGGTCAGGACATTAGTGTCACCCCTGGGAACAGTATGTCAATATATATGTTCCTGATTTCACTCATAGTAGACTGGCTAATGCAGTAATGGCTTTCCATCCCGACTAATGACAATGAATGAATAGCTCTTCCGCCATTCCAGTCATAAACAAGAAAACTCAAACCAATCACAATAATGTTCTTCACAACAATGCCATAGAATCTATTACCAAACGACCTTGGCATAAAGCCACCATAACCCTTTAATCTGACTATAGATGAATTTAACACTCAAACAATGCCATCACTAATGACAGTAATGCAAACAAAATCCTTGGTTTACTTGAACGAAACCTGGAGACATCTAGATCTACATTGTATCTCAAACATTAAATTTGCAGGCATATCGATTGCTTGTCCATGTTGGTCTCACCAGGGTTCTCACTAAGGATTTTTGAAGGCAAGTCCAGGGAATCATCATTTTTTGCTATGGTGAGTCCAACAGTAAGAAGAAGATATTTTATTGCGATATGATTTATTATTTTAGTCTCCTCCATGACCTAATAGAACAATGAAATGACATTAAATTCAGATTACTTTTAAACTTTTGCTATAAAATGATTGTGTGTTCAGTTAATACAAAATTTTACAATCTTGATGCATCTTTGGACTCGCCAGTTTTGAAAATGGTGAGTCCATACAGATTTTAATGAGTCCAGGACTCATGGACTTGCCTTAGTGAGAACCCTGTATTAATCCATGTTAATCTAGAGTATGCTTGTTCAGTTTGGAAATTCTCATACTGTCGATTATTGCAATTAACATTAACATGATTAACTTGAGATGGTCAAATGATTGGGATTCTAAGCCCAGAGCTAGTATAGGCAGACAAATCAGAAAATGGCTCCGGACAGGGTTTAAAATATGAGCAACCTTTTATGCTTACATTAAATTGGTGCCTTTTGAACTTACATGTCATGCATGTACATCACCATTATGTTCACCTGATGCAGGTTATAATTGAAAAGAAGACAAATTTGCCTTTCATAACTTGTTATCATTTAGAAAAACACTGATTTGAGGTGAGGAAGCTCAGTGTTCTTCCCAGGCCCTTAAAGGACTGCAGGCCCGCTATGTAAAGTTTTTGAGCGTGGTGGTATAATTTTTGCCTGTGGTGCTATAATTTTCAGTTAAAAGTCCTAAATCAGTAAAATTTTAAACGACTTGTTTAATCTTTTCCGTGAGGTATAAAATTCCAGGTGAAATTTAACCAGTTCAAACCAGATTGTTTACACCACTTGATTGATTTAAATGAGGTTAACCCTTGTTGATTTGATTTAATCGCTGTAATTAACACTTGTTACAGGATTCTTATGTGCTTTAATTGATTAAGTGATCATAAACTTATGATCACATTTAACTATTTTTTTGCTTCATTCACCACCCAAGCGCTGACCTGTGACAAGTCGGCAAATACTTTGTACACAAACAGTGCCACACACGACAGAACATTTTTTGTACATAATAAATCGTTGGCTCATTACGGATAATTGACAATTATACATTTCCCAATTCTTTATGAAGCACGTAAAACAAGCTTTCCTTGTCAGATATATCATGTATATACGATTATCAAAATTCATGATGTCCATTTTACATTAAACCATTGCCAAAATATTTAAATATCTTTAATTATGACATAGTCATGATAGTTATTGCATGATAGTCTGGTTTCAAACTTAAGTACCTGTCAACAAGTAATTTTTTAAAGGGGACGGACATCTGTACATATCACATGACCCAGTTAATTCAAATTGAAAATTCAAGTTTATTTACAATTAATTGCAATCTATTTTATAAATAAAATGCATGACTGTACCTTCAAACTGGATATCTATATTCAAAATTTATGAATAAAAGAAGTAATCTTGCAAACATTATCCATAAACATATAATTTATATATAAGCACATGTTAAAAATCTATTTATACTATATCTGCCCTTGAAATTTTACTTGATAACATTTTTGTTCGCTTTGGAGATTCCGTATATCGTCAAGTTATCAGAATTCCAATGGGGACTAACTGTGCACCACTTATTGCGGACCTGTTTTTGTATTGCTATGAGTTACAATTTATGACTAAAATCAGCAAAGACCCATCGAAACAACATCTGATACAAAAAATTAACAATACATTTAGATATTTGGATGATATATTGGCTCTCAATAATGAAGACTTCAGTATGTATACTAAAGAAATTTATCCTGTTGAACTTACTTTAAATAAAGCTAATACTAACAATGACTACTGTCCTTTACTCTTTCTTGATATCTATATCATTAACGGGAAGCTCAAAACAAAAATTTCATTTCCTATCGTTAATTATCCATTTTTAGATGGTGGCGTTCCCTTGTCACCATCTTATGGTGTTTATATATCTCAACTTGTACGATTTGCTCGTGTATGTAACAACATTTTATATTTTAGCGAGAGAAATTTATGTATTACTGAAAATATTTTACACCAGGGTTTTCGATATCATATTCTAGTCAAAACATTTACTAAATTTTATCATCGATATAAGGACATCATTCGTAAATATAACTCAACATGCAGACATCTTGTACGTTCGGGTATTTCACATCCAATCTTTTATGGTAATATTCTTTACAAAGCACAAAAATGTCAGTATTCACCTCAAAAGCTAACAAAACCTTTAAACAGACTTATTAAGAAGGGATATAGTTACGATACTGTTGTCAGGTCATTAAAGATTGCATATTTTGGCTTTAATATTGATTCACTTATAGGGTCTTTGCATTGGAATTTAACCCTTTTATTCTAAAACCAGTTGTTGGCATGACACACGGGTTATGTTCTTCTCATATATTTTATGACGGTATAATACTAAACCCCTAACAGGATGGATTGTGCCTGATATTCATATGATGAAGACATAATCTTTCAATCAGTTTAATTGATGTCTGGAGCTGGCATGTCAGTAACTGCTAGTAGTCTGTTGTTATTTGTGTATTATTACCGTTTTGTTTATTTTCTTTTGTTTCCTATTCTGACTTCGAACTCGGACTTCTCTTATACTGAGTTTTACTGTGCGTACTGTTGTGCGTTTGTTTTTTCTACATTGGCTAGAGGTATAGGAGGAGGGTTGAGATCTCAAAAAACATGTTTAACCCCGCCGCATTTTTGCGCCTGTCCCAAGTTAGGAGCCTCTGGCATTTATTAGTCTTATATCATTTTTAATTTTAGTTTCCTGTGTATAATTTGAAGTTTAGTATGATGCCATTATCACTGAACTGGTATACATATTTGTTTAGGGGCCAGCTGAAGGACGCCTCCAGGTGCTGGAGTTTCTCGCTGCATTGAAGACCCATTGGTGGCCTTCGGCTGTTGTCTGCTCTATGGTCGGGTTGTTGTCTCTTTGACACATTCCCCATTTCCATTCTCAATTTTATATCTACTTCCTGTCATTTAGGCTGGAGAATAGAGAGCCTTTGTTGTTGACATTGAATATGGTTACTTATAGATCTGTAGACCTAATAAATAGATTTAGGGATTCTCTTTAAATGGGTCAAGACAAATAAGATTTAGATTTTAGTGCAGTAATTAGTCTGTATCTATGTTTGTTTATCACCAAAGACAAGAAAGTTTAAGAATTACAGGAAATTTATATTTATGGCAAAGTGTTTTAAAGTTTATAAAAAAATTCTTTTGATTAAAATTTAAGATCAAAACTGGTTCAAATAATAAAACAATATTTGTTCTTGTTAATTTTATATCTCCTTATGACAGGAATCCTTTAATATGCAACAACTTTCTATCGAGAAACTAGAAAGTTTTTTAAATTGAACATTTTTGTTCTCTTTTAAATGATATTTTATTTTTATTGATCATGGATTTTATAAAAGATTTAATTACTATAATTATTAAAATGAATATTTTGTAATGAATCATGTTTTATTTATTTTAAAAAGATAATAAAGTATACAAACAGTTTATTGATTTACTTCTCTTTTACCAATAATTTTCTGACTCAATGTCTACATAACACAGTACCACAGTATTAAAACAAAACAAAAGACATAAAAACTACGGTATTAAACTAGAAATCTAGCTAAGCGACGCAACGCGACATGACTGATTGTACGAATTGTTTCACCAAGCTGTCCACACGCGTTGCCCTGGTGCTATCCAAAAATCCTGGGAAGAACACTGGAAGCTGGGAAAAAAATTATGAATAGACTAAATAGGGCTTGATGACATATGTATAAGGGCTTTGGAGGGTGGTCAATTCATAAAATTTGTGTGATACAGATTTCCAAAAGTGATAAACCGATGTCTAATCATTACAGTTCAGTCATTACCATAATAACAGTAGCAGTACAGCCATGGTCTGTACTCTTAAGTGGCCTACATTTCATCAAAAGTCAGGGCCATTGCTGAAACAAATTATTTATTTAATCATCTACATACATATATATGCATGGTGATATAGATATTTTTTTTAAGAAAATATATGTAAGAGTTATTTTAATTTAAAATAAGCAGACTATTCTACATGTTCTATGAATTTTTACATTATTTAAAAAAAAAATAACATATCAATAAGAAATAAAATTCAGAGTATATAGATAAAGGTTACTTAAAAAATGGACAACAACATTACTACTTACATGCCTTAACTTATTTTATACATCTTTGAAATAATAAATTGGTAATTAAAATCCTGTAAGTTACACATATGTATGTAGTTGCTTTGGGTTACCATGGTTACAAATTTTGAATAACTTCAAGTTTCAATTTAATCACATGTTTATCATGTTTATATATATATATATATATATATGTTTTATAATAATTGTCTACCTTCATAACTTTTAAGGTAAATGATATTGTAATAGTCTCAAACATTGTATAACATGTATAAAGACTAATCTTTGACCCAGGAGTTTCAGTATTAAATTCATGTAGGTGCGTCTAGAAAATGAAGGCAATTAGTGTTACAGGAGGATTATTTTTTTTGCTTTATGGGATAAATAACCAAATGTCTGAGAAAATTTGTTTCACTAGTAAAATCTGTATGAAAGGACACCTCTTTAAAGGATATTTACAATAGTAAAACATAATTCTAATATGACGACCTATTATCGTCAACCAGTATAATCACAATAAATCTACCTTTAGCGCAAACGCAGTAATACACAAAAACGGATGTTCCGCGTTACGACCAACTTATTTATACTGCCAGATATTCTCAATTTTCACATCAAAATCCCCAGTTTACGAAGGCCAAGCTTCAGATACAATATATTTATCTCTATTCTACAACAAAATAAACAAATCAGTCCATATCAATTTATTTTTCATGGTAAAATTTCATAAAACGAAAATTCCGCGAAATGATGTTATTGTCTTGACATGGCAACAAAACAAGGTGACGTCACAAATATGTTTCCATAAACAAAAAATCAAATGTACACAACAGCCCGTGTGGATTTTGCTTTTTCCACCGGAAAATAAAAGAAATTGAATGCCCACTCCTACAGGTGGGCAGAGTGGACAAGGTACAAATTTTGCCCACCCGGTGCCCACTCCCATGGTGGGCCGGTGGACAAAGCAAAATCCACCCGAGCTGTAGTGTAAATACTGGGCGTTTTAAAGCTTCTTGTACGCCTCAGTCTCCAACGAATAAAATTACATTGGAAGAAAATATATAAGTGAAAAATGTGATTAAAAAAAAAATCATTGAATTATATAATATTACTAATATTATCAAAATTGGGTAAAACGGAACAGCCAAAACAGAATCGTATGTATAGGGCTTTCACGGTTAACAAAATTACCGAATTTGTCCTATTAGAATCGAAATAATTCCTGGCAGCCATAGATTTGTTTTCATTTAACCGTGGGTTGGGCATTTATATTCATATTTTACCCCTTGCTAACGCTCAGGGTAAAATAATCGAATATAAATGCCAAACCCATGGTTAAATGAAAACAAATCTACGGCTGCCATGAATCATTTCTTAAGTTATATTTAAGAGATGCATTTTCAACTTACATACTGTAGATTCCTTAATATTCATTGGATACCAATTTTTGTGGATTTCGTTGATACAGGGGAACCATGTATTTAAATGTTCCACAAATTAAAAATTTGCAAAAGGAATTTATGCAGACTTTCCCAAAACAACGGATTTTTTATCAATAAAAATGCAAGTTTTCCCCAATCCATGAAAATTGGTACCCACAAAAGTAAATGAATCCACAGTAGTAATTTTTTAAAGTAACTTGTTTATGTAATGGTTAACTTTTTTGTTAAATAATTATATGGCAAGATTAAAATTTCATCATCTTAAACTGTAAAACAAAAGCATGCAGAATTAACTCATTTTTGAAATTTTTGTAGATTTCTGAAATGATTTGAAATGTCAGACGAAACAAAATGTCATGTCTGTAAGACTCAGAATCAGATAATGAAAAGATGTACAAGATGTCACAGCGTATTTTACTGGTAAGATATATATATTAGAACTACACATAAAAATACCATAGAAAGCTTATATAACCTGATTGTTGCTGGCTGTTTGATCCAACAGTTAGCATGTGTTATTTCGAATTAGTTCAAGTTGGTTATATACCGGTATATGAATTTCTTTCCAGTTTCAACATTTTTTAAAAGGGGAGATAACTTTCAAACAAACAGACTAATATGTTTCTTTTTAATACAAACCCTATGAATGGAGCTATGTTTTGTTGAACAAAAGCTGAAGTTGTATTAAACATTTTCATTCCATCACCAACTAATTTGGAAAATGTGTGATCATGGTGATGCACTTTCATTTTAGTCAAAATGAGCGTCAGATCCTGCAAAATGCACAACGCTCATTTGTCTCAACATTTGTCTAGACAAAAACTAGACTTTGTTCTATCTATAGAGTTCTTTAAAAAAAATCAATTGGAAACAAAGTAGGTAAATTGAAAATTGATTATTGATACACAATTTCTTTTAGAACACAAAAATAATTCAACTAACTTTCTTAAAAAAATTAAGTACTGGTAGGTAGGTAGTCAATTAAATGTTTGTCTGGTTGAAAAACTTTGATTGTGCTTTTTCAAAAATGACAAAAAAAAACCTTAAGGGTACTTGGGTTTGCAGTAGTACTTTTTTTTTTTTTTTTAAGGGGGGGATCAAAATCACAGTAAAACAAATTTATTTTCCCTTAATTGGTATTAAATGTATGAGGGTTTGGATGGGTTTATAGAATAGAGAATAATAGTCCAAAAATGCAGAATAAAGAGCCAAAAATAGAATAAAGAACAGAGAACAATTGGTTGCTTAAATATTACGAATAGTGAATTATAATAAGCAAATAAAATAAAGCTAAATTTAAGTAAATTAGCATAAAAAATCTTACAAAACTCAATACCTCAGTGTCCTGAATTAAAAGGAATTATGGAATATTTTATCAACATGATCAATGTCTAAAGATTCATTATTATTTATGGGATACCAATTTTTGTGGATTTCATGGGTACACATAATCCACAAATTTAAATGTTAAACAAATTTCAAGTTTTCTATATAAGCTTGCACGCAGACTTTGACAAAACCATGATATCAAATATCCAAGATAATGCAAGTTTTCCTCAATCCATAAAAATTTGTACCCACTAAAATAAATTAATCCACAGTACCTAAATAAGACAGCAACCCTGGCAAAGACAAAAACAACTGAGACAGGTAAAGGCCAATATACAATCTTCAAAAATAGACAGATGTTTTACAAAATATATCAAGTTCTAAATTATCATGAGTCTGTGAATAATTTTAAAGGAAAAAATGAAAAATCTGCTATTAACACTCAGTTCTAATAACAAAGAACTTTAGTATATGACACAGCACTTTCCAACCAAGATTTGATAAATACCTCAGTAAGATAATAAAAAGAAAAAAATAACATTATAATGATAATGTCAATAAATGATTTTTATACCAAGAATTTGGCTACCCGGTATATTGTTATCATTGTGTTATATGTTTCGTACATCTTTTCATGCTTTTGTCATGCAAATATTTTGAAATTTGTTACATTTTTTTACAGAAACTACTTAACACTTTTTAACAGAACTATTTCACATATGGTTAGCAGATTGACAGTGATGGGTTGTAAAAAATGTGAGCACTTTTCTGATCTGTCAGATACCTTCTTCCTAATTGCCAATACTTTTAATTTTCAATATAGGTTCAATGAACTTTTAACATTTTGTCACACATTTCTGCCAATTTACTGAACAGAATGTCTTCATATTTGGTCAGTTGCTCAACAGTGATGCATGGTAATGTACATGTGCTTCTGCGATCTGTCAGACACATAGCTACATCATGTTTCCAATACTTTATATGAGTGAGTGTATTCTTAGCCTGACAAATACTTAATTCTTGTTAATTCTATATTATAGCTCAAAGGAATGCCAGATTAGTGATTGGAAGACACACAGACAGATTTGCCAACAAATCAATGCTCGAACAAAAAGTTCAGAGACTTCTTATAAAGATGATGGGTCAATTTTCACCGATAGTAAACCTCAAGGTATAGCTTCTTTCACTAAGTTAGAAACTAATCAATGCATTATGGGTACCAGATAGTAAACCTCAAAAGAATAAATCTCACTACTTGCATTAATTCACACTAATTCAGAATCTATAAAGCATTATGGGTAGCAAATAGTTAACCTCAATGTATAAATCTCACTACACTGTACTTGCATTATTTCACACTTGCATCTGAATCAAATGCATTGTGGGTAATATTTTCAAAAGCATACAACAAAAACATTGTGATTGGTATAAATCAAAAAGACATCTTACAGATGTTTACACTTTAAAACTTCATGAATTATTTTGATAATATAAATATTAATTATATGACTATAAAAATTCTATTTTCTCATTGGCTAAAAACGTAGGGAATCCTCTTTGATAAAACGTACCTTGAATTCACTGAGAAAAAGTCATGAGAGGTTAACATAAGATTTGGAACTGCTAACACATACCTATGAATAGTTTTTACTAGGCAACATCAATGACGAAGGTTTATGATGTCATGCAAATTCTTGTTTTTTTTTTCTTCTTCCTCTTTTTTATAGTGTTAACAATTATTTTTTTAGTAAATATTATTGTACACTGTATCATTATACTAGTATTTCAATTTTAAAAAGTTAGCAACGGCCAAAGCAGATAATATAGTTCATATAAAAACATTAAGAAGTTCGATATCTTTCATCAAGAGCAAGTACTAAAAAACTGGAGATGAATAAAAAAAAAAGTCACATAATAAAACATTTGTTGACTTTTGATTTCATTTGATACAATGATTTATAAGACGTTTTGGCAACTGGTATAGTGGTTATGATCTATACAGATAAATATACCACACTTTTAGTGGTGATTTTTCACTGTGATCTAAATGCAGGTTATTCACTGTGTAATCCTTTTCTGTTCATTTCGTAGGTAGCATATAACAATGACAGGACTGTAATTTAGAGGGTTATCACCTGGAGTTACAGTCATAAAACTTATTGTTACAATGACATACAAAACGTTTGTTAAATGGTTTGTGTACAAATTTACCTTAAACAATAAAAGAGCATGGACCATTTGAATGTTCCAGTGAATTTCCACCTTAACAAAGTTATATATTCTGCATAAAGCATTAATGTAAGAATTGGAGGTCCTGGATATCTATAATTAAAAAAACAGAAGGCTCCCTCCCAGAATAGAGCAGTTCCAGGACCTTGTACGTACTTATGAAATAATTCTTTCATGCCATACTCTATGCTCTTTTTATAATGGGTAGGCATTAAATTTGTCAATATCTTTATACCAAGCATTAGCAAGGTGTAAAATGTTTACAAATATTATTCCTACCCAAGTTTAAGCGTTTAATTCATGATAAAAAATGAACAGATACTGAGAAAATTATTATATAAAGCGCTGGATTTTTCCTTAGTGTTCACTGTTGGTCCGTGTGACCTCGTAATCTTACTTTTTGAATGATTGAATTTAATTTCCTAGCAAGCAACACCAACACAAATGTCCATTTTGATCTCCAGCGTTGTTTAAAATACAACTGATGTTGCAATTTCAATAGTTACACGCAGCCCATTGGAATTAGAACATGGCTTTGTTTCCAAAGCGAAAAAAGAATGTCATATTAGAAACTAATTCAACTCATGAAAGGAAGGTGATGAACATTTTTATGCCCCCGTCATAGCGGAGGGGGCTTAAGTTTTACCCTTTTCTATCTGTAAGTCTGTATGTCCCAAAATTGGTTTCTGTTTGCTTATGAAACTGATACACAATGCTTATTACCACAAAACACAAATCAAGTTTGAATTTGGGTGGTGTCACTTTTACCTTTTTAGAGTTATGTCCTTTTCATTTTTTATTTTTTTTTTTGTCTACTGTACTAAAATTGTTTGGCATTTTCAGGTAAAATAACAATCTGTCATCGTCCTGTAGTTGATTTCCACAAAGCTGCTAAAGATTTACAGAACCAGAAACCTCTGACAGAACCTGTAAATCGATCTATAAAACCTGAGAATTCCTATCTACATTGTAACCAGTACAAAACTGATCTACCAGTGTTTGACGAAAGTCAGCCATTTTGTGAAATAACTGTGAAATGTAACAAACAAAAACAAAAATTAAAAATACAAAATGCTTGGAGTGGCGATGACATATTAAAAGTATTTTCAAACAAATTAAACATTTCCTATGAAAAGATTAAAGTGATAAATAAAGGCAAGATTTTAACTTGTGAGACAATTGCGTCTGCTATTTCAAATAAAGCCATCTTTCAAGTGATTGGTGAACAGGCAGCCAATGAGGACGGACTTGATACTGGTGATGTTGATGTACTGATGAAACAAATGGGAGTAGATAGAAACGAGGCTGTGATGGCCCTAAGAAAGTGTGGTGATGTTGTTGATGCTATTATTGAGTTAGGCAAAAAATAAAATCTGTGATAAATTAATTGAATTTATATATTTCTCTAATTCTTAGCCGATTTATCCTTCTCATGACCTTTTGATTATTTTTATGTAATCAAAGTGTGGTTCGTTTGATCTCAGTCCTTCATTGGCAGATCATGATTGGTCAAAATTCTATTTTGATGTCAATTTTTCTTGCTTTCCTCCGAATTTCCTAATGATGTCACGAAAAGAGGCCACCATGCCTGAAGACGTTACATAAAAAGACAACATCTTCTTGCAGATCATTTGAAAAAAGGAAAAAGTTTGTCTGCATAGGGTCTGAAATTATAATTAGTGAACAGATTCTACCACCAGATCTTGTGCAATACTACAATTCTCCAGTCTCAACAGTTGAATATTAAATTTGAATTTGAGAAATATCGTATTACACTCATTGCAGTGGTAGAATTTCTATTTATACCACGCTAGAACACTAAGAACAGTTCCTGTTGTCTTTAACTACCAAATATAGTAACAAATTAATATTTCATGCAATGTCGATTTCATGTCATCACTGTTCTTTAAAATTTTCAGTGCATTGAGGGACAGAAAATTATTAATATTTTTGGTGTAAACATTTTCAGTACTGTAATTGTATCCAATTTTAGCTGCAGTATATATAAAATCAATAGTAGATCATATCAGAAAAAATATCAATTTTTTTTTGTATTTGGCACAAAACTGTTGAAGGGCTTGATAACCCTCAACCTTCCACAGTTAACTAAGCCTCAAACAAAAAAGTGTGTATTTTCTGACATTGACCTAATATATGTTCCGTAGTAGCTTTTTATATTTTGCGGTCGTATATTGGTATGACATTGGCGTCGTCGTCCGAAAACACATTGGTTTTCGCACTCTTACTTTAGTTTAAGGGAATGGATCTCAATGACATTTTACCATAAGGTTCAATAACACACAAGGAAGGTTGGGATTGATTTTGGGGGTTATGGTACCAACAGTCAAGGAAAAGGGGCCAAAAATAAGCATTTTTGTAACTTCCAGACATAACGTGTGTGTTAGTGTATGGATCTCTCTGACATTGTACCACAAGGTTCCATATCACAAATTTAAAGGGAATGCTGGGATTGATTTTGGGGGTAATTGCCTCAAAATTTTAGGAATTAGGGGCCAAAAAACAAGCATTTTTCTAGTTTCATGATAATAACTTGTGTGTAAGTGTATGGATCTTTATGAAATTGTACTACAAGGTTCCATATCACAAAGGGAAAGCTGAGTTTGAGTTTGGGGGTAATTGCCCTAAAAATTTAAGAATTTGGGGCCAAAAAACGCATTTTTTCTAGTTTCCAGACAATAACTTGTGTTCAAGTGTATAGATTTTCCTTTTTTTTTTCTTTAAAATTTTCCATTTTAAATTGGTTATTTCAGATTTATTTATAAAAGCAAATAATAATGATATGGTTTGAATAGGTAAATTAAAAATTTTTAAGTTCTTAGACCACTTTCATTCTGTGTCAGAAACCTATGCTGTGTCAAATATTTAATCACAATCCAAATTCAGTGCTGTATCAAGCTTGAATGTTGTGTCCATACTTGCCCCAACTGTTCAGGGTTCAACCTCTGCGGTCATATCAAGCTGCGCCCCAGCGGAGCATTTTATTGTTATTCAAATCATGAGTATAGTTAATATCCGTATGGCTGACATATATATTTACTACTTTTTGGGGAGTTTTGATGACAGTGTGGTCTTGGAAATATTTATCTACAGTGATCATTAGCCTATCGACTCTGAGTTTGTGAGTTTAAACCCCACTGATTACAAGTTTTGTTTTACTCCGATCTTTATTCTGAAGGATTGCAGTTGTCTTGCAGTGGTTTTCTCGTTGTACTCTGGCTTCCTCCACCAATAGAAACTGGCTGCCATGATATATCTAAGGGTGCTGAAAGTGGCATTTGACACCAACCAACAAACAAAGTATCATACATGTATTACTTTTTATGGCCATTTTGAAGCTCACCTTGCCCGAAGGTGGGCAGTGTCAGCTTTTGCCATCAATTGGCGTCCGTTGTCATCCATTTACTTTTACAAAGATCATCTCCTCTGAAACTACTGGGCCAAATTCAACTAAACTTTGCCACAATCATCAAAGGGGTATCTACTTTTATACGACCGCAAAAAAATTTTTGTGGTCATATATTAGTATGACGTTGGCGTCGTCGTCCTCATCGTCGTCGTCCGAAGACACATTAGTTTTGGCACTCTAACTTTAGTTTAAGTAGACGGATCTCAATGAAATTTTACCATAAGGTTTAATACCACAAAAGGAAGGTGTGTATTGATTTTGGGGGTTATGGTACCAACAGTTACGGAATTAGGGGCCAAAAATAAGCATTTTTGTAACTTCCAGACATAACTTGTGTGTAAGTGTATGGATCTCTCTTCCATTGTACCACAAGGTTCCATATCACAAAGGGAATGCTGGGATTGATTTTGGGGGTAATTGCCTCCAAATTTTAGGAATTAGGGGCAAAAAACAAGCATTTTTCTAGTTTCATGACAATAACTTGTGTGTAAGTCTATGGATCTCTCTGACATTGTATCACAAGGTTCCATATCACAAAGGGAATGCTGGGATTGATTTTGGGGGTAATTGCCCAAAAAGTTTAGGAATTAAGGGCCAAAAAGGGGTAAAAAACAAGCATTTTTATAGTTTCATGACAATAACTTGTGTGTAAGTGTATGGATCTTTATGAAATTATACTACAAGGTTCCATATCACAAAGGGAAAGCTGGAATTGAGTTTGGGGGTAATTGCCCGAAAAGTTTAGGAATAAGGGGCCAAAAATAAGCATTTTTCTAGTTTCCAGACAATAACTTGTGTTCAAGTGTATGGATCTCTCTGAAATTGTACTGCAAGGTACCATACCACAAAGGGAAGGCTGGGATTGCTTTTGGGGGTAATTCCCTCAAAATTTTAGTAATTAGGGGCCATAAAAGGGCAAAAAAAAAGCATTTTTCTAGTTTCAGGACAATAACTTGTGTGTAAGTGTATGGATCTTTATGAAATGGTACTGCAAGGTTCAATATCACAAAGGGAAAGCTGGGTTTGAGTTTGGGGGTAATTGCCCTAAATGTTTAGGAATTTGGGGCCAAAAAGGGGCCAAAAAACAAGCATTTTTCTAGTTTCCAGACAATAACTTGTGTTCAAGTGTATGGATCTCTCTGAAATTGTACTGCAAGGTACCATACCACACAGGGAAGGCTGGGATTGAGTTTGGGGGTGATGAATCATAAGGGGGTTCAAAAAATTTGGGGGGGGGGGGATTTTTTTTTCCTTTTTTTTTCTTTAAAATTTTCCATTTTAAATTGGTTATTTCTGATTTATATATAAAAGCAAATAATAATGATATGGTTTAAATAGGTAAATTAAAAAAATTTAAGTTCTTAGACCACTTTCATTCTGTGTCAGAAACCTATGCTGTGTCAAATATTTAATTACAATCCAAATTCAGTGCTGTATCAGGCTTGAATGTTGTGTCCATACTTGCCCCAATTGTTCAGGGTTTGACCTCTGCGGTCGTATCAAGCTGCGCCCCAGCAGAGCATTTTATTAAAAATGTGTCAGATGACCACCCTGCCAACAAACATGGCCAACATGGCTAAAAATAGAACATAGGGGTTAGATGCTATATTTGATTAATATCTCGAAAACTTCTATAGATACAGAAAATCTGACATCAGCAAAATTGTTAAGACTGATGAGGTCTACCTAATGTCTATTGACATTAAAACTGTTATACGTCTTCGTGAAGGAGTTATTACCCTTAAACGACATATTTTACCATTATTTATGCGTTTTCTTGAAAAATATAATAAATAAATAGAAATTTAAACAGGAAAAATGATCAGCAGGATAAGATCTACCAATCCATCAACATGACTGAAATTGTCAGTTATGTCTTAATAGAGTTATTTCCCTTTAATGATTATTTTTACTAATGAGTGGCCATTGTTGAAGATGCAGGGTTAAGGGACACAGTTTTCTTGACCTCTGGACAAAAAAACTTCAAGAACTTTTATGCCAAGTAAGTTTTTCATTAATCTTAATAAAAAACTGATCTTGCATCCCTCCTGTTTTCTGATACGTCCCACGTGACCTTTAGAAAACAGGAGCGATGGGAGATCAGATAGGATATAGATACCTATAAACTGAAATCTTTCCATATTAGGTTTTTTTAATGAACAAAATGAGATTTTTTGTATCAATGTGACAGTAACTTAAGTGTATTTTAGTACATGTATGCTTCCTGACTTCAGACCAGTACATATTTATAACTTTGGACCAAATAAAACTTGTTTTTAAGATCATACTGGAAAGCTGTCCACAGGAAGACAAATGCACCATGCTTGTTCCTTAAACTGGGTCACAGTTGGTCTTCAAAGTCATAATTTTCATTGCATGATGACCCATGTTTTGCAAATGCATGTACCTTTGCATCATACCACTTGCATTTCATGAATGCAATATTTTTTTCATGATTTTTTCCCATACAACAGATACCTCAAATGGGTTACAGAGGTATAAACACATTGTTATATATAGAGAAAGTGCAAAATTGTTCTTTGTAATTTTTCCAAAAATTGCATGCAAAATTCTGGAACATCCGTTGTCATGATGATGGGAATTAGCTGTGAGAATATCCTTGTGACAGTTGCATCGGCAGAGGAAATAGAATGGTTGAGTTATTTTTAGCTGCCACAGATTTAAGTGTCTGTAAGTATCTGAGCTGAATGGCAGCAGGTGATTGTGACATGATATCTGCAGCCTCTTTTAAGGCTTGTGATGCATTTTGTTCTCCTTTGGCTGTGATGACCTGTAAAAATAAATATATATGTATTAGGCAGTTAGACAAAAGGCGCAGGGTTTTCAAAGGCAGAACATAGAAGCTATTAGCAAACTGATGTTCTACATTAAATACTAAAAGTTGAAATAGATTTAGATCTACCTGGCAAAAGTTATGTTATCAAAGTAAAGCTTTTTTAAAAATTATTGGGTAATTTTACTTTATTATTATCAAGTGGTCCAGATTTTTTTCTCTTCTTTGATAAAGATTGCAAAGGTGACTTAGAACTTTACGAGTTGGGTATCATTTTTCTGGAAGTTGAACATTAACAGCATTACCTTTTAACCATCTTTTAAAAACTTTCATTCAAGTAAGCATCTTATTTTTATGGCAAGCCATTTTACTATTTATTCTAACTCCATCTTTATATATAGTATATAAGATATCTTATAAATATTTTTATATAAGATATTTTATATAGTTTATAAGATATCTTATATTGTTTATAAGATATCTTATATTGTTTATAAGATACCTCATATAATTTATAAGATATCTTATGAAGAAAATTATATAAGATCTCTTATAAAATTATATGAAATATCTTATAAAATATATAAGCTATATTATAAAGAAAATTATATAAGCTTATGACTGTCTTGAAATTGCATTTGGCTGGTGTTAGCTTTTACTCACCGATAAACGGAAAGTCCCTTATCAAATAGCAAAATCAAAAGCTAAAACACATCAAACGAATGGAAAACAACTGTCATATTCCTGACTTGGTACAGGCATTTCCTTATGTAGAAATGGTGGATTAAACCTGGTTTTATAGCTAGCTAAAACTCTCACTTGTATGACAGTCATACAGCATTCCATTATATTGACATCAATGTGTGAGCAAAACAGACATAAGAGGTAAAAATGTCGAAAATTGGGGGTACAGCAGTCAACATTGTGTTATCATCTTAATCATTTTAAAAACAAAGAATTATTTAAACAAAGAAAAACAAAAAGGCATATAGACACTCTATTATAGACAAAGTACATAAGCAAAAATGAATGACAAGAATACAAATATGGCCAAAGCACAATAACACAATTATAAATACCTAGCCACGCCAAAAATATATACCAAAAATCGGACTAAACAGTAAAGGTTTAAAATATACAAAGACAAATAAAAAGAACATAATAATGATTATAACACGTGATTAAGATGATAAACAACGTCAGCACCTGGAATCTATACTTTCAAGACCATCATGTATTAATTGTGAAGTTGATACGGAATATTTATCAGCAAGATAAAAGATGGTATCTTCCAATGACTTGTTTAGAAAAAGGACGAAACGTTCTTTGGCATAAATCTGGTTCATCATCTTTCTGCTCAGACATTGGTGACGCTAAATAAAGTCAGAGTAACAGCAGCAAGCTGTTGAATACCGAATGAGTTGGGAAATGTATATCCCATATGCAGCTGAAGTTGGTACGTTGCTGCTGAGGTTGGGGAAATTTATAACTTCAAAATTAAAATCGTCTCGTTTGTTATAGATTCTGGTACTGAGATGACCATTTACCACTGATGTCAAATTTGAGGTGACAGTCTAAAAATGAGGCAGAGAAACCTATGTCTGTTGTTTCTTTAATTTCTAGTTCTGGAGGATATATTAATGGTACCCAATCAGAAAAGTTTAGATTGTTAATGAATTGAAAATCAGAAACTTATTTCACAAAAAATCTTACGATTAAAATTGATCATAAGTTATACTGAAATGTGTATGACTTACGAGTATTTTTACTCTTACAAGATTTTTTTGTGAAAAGAGCCCATTATTATTAAATCATCAATATATCTGAATGTGAAATTAAATTATCTGGCTTCTTTGGTCTACTTTTATTTATAAGTGTCTGAAAGAACTCCGACTAATATGAAAATAAGAAGAGGTCAGCAAGGTGAGGGGCACAGTTCATTCCCATAGGAATGCCTACAATTTGTTGAAAAGATCTGCCTGCAAATTCAACAAATATGTTGTTAATAAGAAACTCCAGCATACTGATCACTTGTTCCTCTGTGTAGCATGTTTTACCTATCACAAACAGGTCATCACTATTTCTTGATTGGATTTTTAGTAACAATGACCATCTGTGATTATTACGTAGTTGGGCCTAAAAGGTAAGGGTTAGTTTTTCGATTGGATATAAATATGAGGTTGTGGATGGAGGGTCCTTCATTTCTGTATTCTTTAATTTTTAGGTCATTTTTCTGTATTCTTATTCTCTATATTTTTTTGGCCCATTATTCTCTATTCTTTTTTTTTTTGCCATTTATTCTGCACATTTTGCCCATTATTCTCTATTCTGTAAACCCCATCCAGACCCTCATATATACTTGGTATTCTTTGTCGAGTATGACTGCACCACCTCCCCATATCAGAGTACGAATGTCTATGAATGCTTAAAACAAAACAAACGGAAAAAAAATACTGAACTTTTATGGTTTTTCTGAAACTAAGAATATAATGCTTCTTTTAATTTTAGCTTTATATGATCTGACATGCACAAAATGTTAAATGAATAAATGTTTCTACAGTCAACGCTTTGACACCCCAATATATCTACAAACAAGCATTCTGAGAGTATTGCATGGCAATACATAGTCCCCTACCGGGTAAAAAATCATTTTACTGGAACAAAATGCTAACTTGTTCTATAACTTGGCATGGAGTAAACAAAAAGTAAATATCATGTCAATATCTTCAAGCATGAATTAAAAAACAGTGTGGAAAACTGATTATATGAGTGGAAAAACATTAGATATGATTAATAGTTCTCTAAAATTAGATATAATGTAATACAGTGTATATCTATTTTCAAATTATAATCAAATATAGTTAATAGTTCCAAATAGTTTTTCTTTCATTTGTCACAAACTAATATAGATTTGTAACTTATCTATAAAATGTCAACAACTTTTATCTACACAATGTAATGTATTGAAATATATACATTAATAAAATAGATTATTATCTAATTAAAGGATTTTTCTTCATAATTTTTTTTATATATATATAGCATTCAGAAAATTAGCTTATTCTAAATAACAAACAAAATAGCCAAAAAATTCTTCAAATAATTTAACAAAGAATGTCTTTTAAAAAATGAGCTATCTCCCTTTGTACAGAAATATGGTTTAACACAGTACTCTAACATTAGATATGGTCCATAACTCTGGACTAAATGATCAGACCGGAACAAAATTCAAACTTGATCTATAACTTGTCATGATAAAACTATATACCAAATATCAAATCAATATCTTCAAGAACGAAGAAAAAAAGTGTGGAAAGCTGATTTGCCGGACTGACGGATGGACAGACGGACAGACAGACGGAGTGCAAACCTAAAGTCCCCTTCGACTTTGTCGGTAGGGGACTAAAAAAGCAATGTCATTTAATTCAAGATTACAATATTTTACCTTTGCACGTGCTTGTCTGGCTGCTTCCGCTTCAGCTGCCATAGATCTCTCCATATCTTTTGGGAGTTTGATTTCTTTTCTGAAATATATACGTTGGTATAAAATTGATATAAATGAATAACAAGGCACGGATTCAGGAGGGGTTGCATCCCCCCAATCTTTATGGGTACAATTTCAGTCATTTTTTTGTCAAATATTGTCCTTTAAATCCTACCGGTTATTCCGAAGAGCGAGCCCACCAACCCCTTCCATCACATCAAATCCTGGATCCGCGCCTGATAATTGATACCATATGGTAGCAGGATATGAAAGTTCTATTTAAAATTACGGTTATTGTTTAAACAATGTTCAGTTTATTGAAAAATGGGAGAATTAGTATCATGGCGACAATCAAAAACTTTAAAGTCAAAGAAAGACAATTAACGTCAGGATCGTTAATAGAAAAAATAAACTAGGACTACAAGATTGGGCAATAAACAACTCGTTAAAATCTCAGTTGCTTTGGAAGGGTCTGCTTAGCAGAAGGCGAAAGCTACCAAAGGGACGGCCAAACTATGTAAGTCCTTTTTCATACTCATTTAATTGAAACATGAAGAAAATATAGTTTCCGCTGGATGATTTGCATGTAAAATGCTGTAAAATGAATGTTTTATATCTTTATTATTACCTAACACACCTTTCGTGTAAGGTCTTAAAAAAGTATTGCAAAATTTCGGCCAGTGAATAAAAAAAAAAGGGATTTGGCAATACAGCACAATCCAAACTACACACAAGAAACACAACATTGAGGTCCTCAACACAGGCACTTGTCTCTGAAAATAATTTCATATATACCTTAATATAACATATTAAGGTATATAGGATTTTTTTTCACAGACAAGTGCCTGTGGTCTTCAACAAAAAAGAACTTCCAAGTGTCAGATTATTACCGGCTCATGTCGAAAAAGGTCTTGTCATCAATTACAAAATTCTTTAATGGACAAAAAATTTAAAAAAAGGCAATGATGGTTTCCTTATAAATACAAGGGGCCTCTCTGACCGAGTGGTATAAGTAGTCGAACTACTGTATCACTAGACTTGTCAACAATGAGGTTGTGAGTTCGAATCTCGCACGTGGCAGGTGCGCTCGACTCCAATCTAAATTGACTAGGATTGTCAGTTTTCTTAACGAAAGTCGGTGGTTCTATTTGGGCACTTCGGCTACCTCCACCAATAACAACTGACCGCCACGAAATAGCACAATAGTGCTGAAAGTTGCGTGAAACACCAATCAATCAACCAATCAATCAATCCTGACAACTACATGAACATACCGGCCACGCCAAAGTTAAACTCAAGAAGTATTTCACTTACATTTCAATCCTTTCCAGTTTAATTCCCCAGTTAGCTGTTTGTCTGTCAAATTTCCTCTGAAATTGGAAAACCGTTCAAGAAAAATTAATGATGAATATTATCAGAACTTGATAATGTATTATGAATATGAGTGTAAAATATTAGCACACATGCCATTATTTCAAACCAACAACTCGGCAAATAGGAAATAGTGAAACAGATGAATATTTCTGGATTCTTACGGTGTTCTTCAGAGTAGACCTGTTTATTCTAAGGGTACGACCATTTAATTTTGAGGGTGTGTGGATTTTTTGAAGAAAATTATTTTCTTACCAGGCAAGCATCAACTTTTTTTTTGTCGCACTAAGCACGAATTTATATTATCATACAACATAATTATACTTTATTTTCTTTCACTGTCTGAAACTCAAATTTTATTGAAGGCTTACATGAAGGCTTTCCGGAGAGAATGTTTTCATCCCCTGCACTCACTTTTGGCTTTAAAATTCTACTTTTGTTAATATACTTATATAATTGATCTATCACCTTACTACATTTGTAAATAAAATATCAAAGTCCTGTAAATTAAATAACATTTTCAATAAGCAGGTGAAGTAATGAGGGTCTTCATGAAGTTATCAGATTTTTTAAATAATTGACAAAAACCATGATAAAGCCAATAGAGAAAAATGCGCAAAAACAACGAATAGAGAACAATGTTGTGCTCAAATATAGAGAAAAGAGAATAATTGGCAAAAAAAAACTAAGAAAAAGAATAAAATGCTCCTTCCCCAAATTTCAGACCCCCAGTTATCCCAAACGCTCTATCAAAAAAAAAATAATTCCCCTTTTCTTTCGGAAAACTTACTGTTATTTCCCTGGCAATTTTCTTTCTGTCACATATTATTTCAGCCATGTCTCTCTTTCCTAAGGTTTTTCTGAGTGTAGTTGCAGCCATAATACTTATAGATAGATGTGGATTCTCAAAATAGCATACTGATAAATTTGGATTAAATATACGACTGTAAACAACAGCATCTACAGTGATGTTCACACAGTCTTTAGTCAAAATCTGAAAATTACAAAAGTATTAAAACTAATTTTGTAGAACATTTTTATTTACTATTTTTATTCAACTAAATGGTAATTCGGAGCGTTATCAAACTCAGCGATATTACTTCAGGCGTAATACCTGTGACAACATATTGGTAAATCGCCTTTAATTTAGGGAAAAAAGAAGTATTACATTTTCCCGGCTTTAGGTTGGCCTTTTGTGTATCCAAGTCAGGTGAAGGAAGTCAACTAAGGAGCGCTGTGATTGGATGTAAGGGTACAAGATATATTTAATTGATCTATGAATAACTGCAGTGTGTTTATTTACAATATAAATTTTGAAACCCATTGAAATATTTTCCTGAGAATTATTCGAAAAGACTTCCAAAATTTCATAAATTTTATGTAAAATGACGGTGGGTATATATAGATAACATAAACAAGCTAACTGCTCCGTTGGAAGATGGTCATGATACTATTTGACTTTAATTTCTAAAACAGAATAATAAAGTATCAATACCACACACATAACTGTTTTGTCCTGGTTTTTATTATAAAAAGTGGTAAATTTAGAAAATGTTAGAATACTGTCGCCTATGGCAGAATAAATACTACCGTTTTTCCTTTAAGCCAATTCAAGGGTATATTATTTAAGAAAATAGCTTTCTATAAGACTGTTATTTGGAAAAAAAAATGTCTGCATATCAATTTAATAATCGATATTAAAAGTCTTGTCAAAATGAAAGGCTCCAAAAATGTAAGTAAAACTGTAATGTTATATCCTTTTACTTGTTTTCGTACGTTGTTTCTAGTATAATTGATTTTTTTTATATGGAGCCTTTCATTTTGACAAGACTTATAATATAAATTTATTTAATCAATATGCAGACATTTTTTTTTATTTCCGAAATTACAGTCTTATACCAGTACATCCAGTATATCTAAACTATACACCAAGTATGTTATTGTTTTATATTATCGTCAGTCGATTCAAGCAGTTTGCATTATATGGTTAATTGATTGGTTGTTGGTGTTTAACGCCACCTTCACCAGTCTTGGCGACCAGTTTTTATTGGTGGAGGAAGAGATATTTTATTAACATAAAATCCAAACAATCGGATTGCTACTAAATACAAACACAAATAAACAATAAACAATACAAATTTATAACATTTACAAAAAATATTAAAATGTTAGACGACATGCCTCCCCTTTAAATTAGCTTAAAATGGAGGAAATGTCTGTAGAGAACCACCGACCTTCGGCAGGAAAAGTTTGCATACTATGTTACCTTCTGTGGTCTGATGTCTCGACACACCGTTCGTAAATCCATCATTTTTATTTCATCAACACATGGTAAGATGAAAAGTAAACCTAAAAGCGAAAAATGGTTATATGAACATTTAATATGTGTGTCTAGAAACATGCAAACAACAGTTCATAAAACACACAAAGTTTACAGATTGCAGAAAAATGACAATTAAACATAAAACAAAAAAAATACCGGCGATGAACCGTGACAGGTTCTCGGAAATTAAGTAGGATAATTTAAACAATTTCTAACTTAACGTTCAGTGGCAAATATTTCATGCATATTCACAAGTAGAACACATTCAAAATTAAAACTTTAGGAAGGTTCTGTTCAATTGGGTCGACCAGGATAGATAGATAATTTAGACAGCCTCTGATACATAGCGGAGGGTATATTCAATGGGTGGAAAGCTTAGCCTTACAACAGATCACCAAGACCTCAAAAAGTTGTTGCTTCGTGTCACTGTCTCTATACACGGGACATCAAATAAATCGTCCACATTCCGACATAAAGATGTGTATTTATATACCCAGCTCAGAAATGGACGAAAAATTATAGTCCTTCATTTCTGTATTCTTTAATCTTATGCCATTTTTCTCTATTCTTTATACTTTTCGTATTCTTTATACTTTGTGTCCATCATTCTCTATTCTTTATATTTAAGCACCTCATTATTCTCTATTTTTTTATTTTTTTGGTCGATTTTTTTTCTATTCTTTAAATTTTTTGCCCTTTATTCTGCACATTTTGTCCATTATTCTCTATTCTGTAAATCCCATCCAGACCCTCATACATAGACATAAGAAGATGTGGTATGAGTGCCAATGAGACAACTCTCCATCCAAGTCACAATGTGTAAAATGTAAACAATTATAGGTCAAAGTACGGCCTTCAACACAGAGTCTTGGCTCACACCGAACAGCAAGCTATAAAGGGCCCCAAAAATGACTAGTGTAAAACCACGATCATTTCAATATTTTGATTGCTTATTCCGAACGACTGTCTCAATTTTAATCTTAATTTTTATTTTATTGAATTGCGTGAATATTCTAGTAAATGTCGTCGTTAATTATAATTTTAACATAAGTATAAAACCTGTCAAAGTCAAGATTTCTTGTAACTATATTTCAACATTTTTAAGAATGTAACATAAATGGACCCCTTTGGAAATAAACAGTATGGTTTGCATGGGAAATCCAGATTAGGTATCTAATTATTTGTCAATTACCATAAGCAATAGGTCAACTATACTTGGTGTATGGAATAATTTTAAGGTGTACATGTCTATCTGACAGGATTTATCTGACCTTGACCTCATTGTCATTGTTTTTTTTTTTTAAGGTTATGTGATACTTGTAGTGTACAACCTTTATCTTTAAGACTCTCAACATAAAATCAATGGTCAGTAAAGTAGGCGATACACTTCAGCGTGTGCGCTCTTGTAATTAAGTATGTTTACATGTCAGTTATTGTTTTATACTACTTTTGTTATGTTTTATGTTGATATTTTATGAAATAAATTGATAAATCAATCAAATAGTCCATGAACAAACCAAAACTCCGAAACAGCGGTGACGTAATGATTTTAATATTCAGCCACATGGCATGTTGGATGCATGGTTAGTGTCAAACCCAGAAACAGTGGTAACGTCGTCTCTGCTACGCTACGCTGACTTACTGAAAGTTTAGAAAAGTTACCAGTAAACTTTCAGTAAGTCAGCGTAGCGTAGCAGAGACGACGTTACAAGTAAACTTTCAGTAAGTCAGCGTAGCGTAGCAGAGACGACGTTACAAGTAAACTTTCAGTAAGTCAGCGTAGCGTAGCAGAGACGACATTACCACTGTTTCTAGGTTTGATACTGACGACGTTACCACTGTTTCTGGGTTTGACACTAACCATCCAGCATGCCATGTTGCTGAATATTAAAATCATTTGTATTTTATAAACAACACAGATGCAACCAGAGTGTTTAGATGAGAGTGTAAACAATATTACTGTATGCAAGGAAATATTAGACGTATATATTTTGTAATTTGTTAAAGGGTTTAAGGATGTTTAGGCCAACATCATTAAAGCCATATAACTGTATATGGTATATTAATACGATACCTGGTCCTTTGGCACCACCAGGTAATACACGACCGAGACGAAAAATTACAACTCTCTCATATTCAGTAATAACCTGAAAATATTTTAAAACAATTATTCAACATAAAGAATTATAGTGTGCAGTAGAATATCATATATAAATACATGTTGCAGTTGCAGAGCTACAATACTAAAATTCCACTAGGACAATATCCACCAGTAGCCTCTGATAAATTTATCCGTTTTTTGTTGTTAGTTGCAACCCATATAACTCGGTATACGTGTTGGTGGTTGATGAAGTTGGTTGTTACGTCCAAAATAAATGTTAATTCCTGTACTCCTTTCTTTGTATTATTAAAATTTATTTTGTTTTTCCTTTTTATTTCGATTTATACGAAAAAGGGTGACACGGGATGCTCATTTCAAAAATCCCGCCTTTTTTGTAATTTTTTACCACTTTCCATGAAACCTTTTTTCTCCCTTTTTCCCAGATCACACTTTTTCATTTATATCTCACACCCCCACTTTTTCATTTATATCTCACACCCCCACATTTTCATTTATATCTCACACCCCCACTTTTACATTTATATCTCACACCCCCACTTTTTCATTTATATCTCACACCCCCACTTTTACATTTATATTTCACACCCCCACTTTTTCATTTATATCTCACCCCCCCCCCCCCCCCCCCACACTTTTACATTTATATTTCACACCCCCACTTTTTCATTTATATCTCACACCCCCACTTTTTCATCCCCTATATATACATCCCAAAAGCGTGTTATCCCCTTCTAACTTCATAAAATCAAAGTACTGAAGTACTGAACATCGGATGACCGCAGGTTCTTGTGGATGATCAAAAGCACATGTCACAGAAACAGATCACATCTCTATACCTGAAACTGAGGTTAATTTACAGAGATTTTTTTTTCTTATACAAGTTCGTGTTTGGATGATGAATAAATGACAGGAAATTCAACCTCACCGTAATAACTATTATATTGTAGTGATACAAATCAGTATACCTTAGACTATTATACTAATATAATAATAGTTCCAGAGAATACACTGGTTTGTTGTTATATATTATATTAATATTACGGTTGCATGTATATATAATTTTCATGTATTTGTATATCATACTATTCTACTATTATTATAGTGTAATGCAAGTGCATGGTGGACACTCTTCTGTAAAGAAAAATCAAAGTCTTAAAGGCTGTAAAAGCAATTGCTGCCATGTTAATGTTTTGTGGACTTTTATTTTTCATCCATATATATAAGAATTAAACCTGACAGGACAGGAGTGTTGACTAGTGAGACGCAAGACGGTTTTAGAGAATACACTGGTTTGTTGTTATATATTATATTAATATTACGGTTGCATGTATATATAATTTTCATGTATTTGTATATCATACTATTCTACTATTATTATAGTGTAATGCAAGTGCATGGTGGACACTCTTCTGTAAAGAAAAATCAAAGTCTTAAAGGCTGTAAAAGCAATTGCTGCCATGTTAATGTTTTGTGGACTTTTATTTTTCATCCATATATATAAGAATTAAACCTGACAGGACAGGAGTGTTGACTAGTGAGACGCAAGACGGTTTTAACTTTATATCAATATAAGACTTTAGCAGGAAATCATTCTAAATATGTTTTATATTTTACAAGGAGACAACAAGTTTACCAGGCTAAAGTTGGGGTTAATTATACATGTGCTGAAACATATAACTGAAAAAAAACTATTATGGATTATCCCCTGGTAGTGTTTGTAACTGGGCAATAATTTCCTTTATTGATTTAATTTTAACCATTTTCATAATTAATTTAAATTAACCATTCAGTTAAAACATTTCAACCTTCCAGACGCAAATGTTGATAAACGGGACAGAAACAAAATATCTAACAAGACATAAACATGTAAAAAATAAATATATATTTCAGCTTACTAAAAATATTTTCATAATGTCACTTTGACATCATTTCTTAAAACTAAGTCCCAAACATAATTGCTCAGTTGACATGTGTCATCCTCATGCGATACGAGATAACTATAATTCTGATGCAATCCCGAAAAGGGGGGTCATCACAAACAAACATGACATTAAATTGTCATTATACGAACTAGAACAAACAGCTCTATGTTGCTTTGATATTTATCAATTTTCAGGAAACATGTGAAATAAATTTCAGGTCCATTTCATTATAGTGCCTAACAAGATTGTGTGAGGTAGACGAAATTGACCTTAAAACGATCGTATTGTCTTTTGATGTCCAAAAATAGGCAGATCGGACATATAAGGACTTTATCTAATGACTACATAAATTTGGGATATATTATTATTATAATATTCTAATGAAACTGAAAATTGTATTTTTTTTTAGGATAAACAACAATTTTACCTGGCGTAGCCGTTCATAAATGTTTTTCTGCATTTATCTTCGAAAAATGGCGTATTTAATGGAATAGAACGTTAATACAGTAAACTTTCTCTTTTTTCTCCGCAATAGGCTATCAAAAATAATTTATCTAAATTGTGTATGTGGAAAATTATGTGAAAAGATAAAAAGAGGCAATTGTTACCTTTCATACCTTAAGTTTCGTTCATCTGATTCTGACCAATGCTTATATACTAAATATCTATTTATATGCCGCTATTATTGTTGTTGTTACCAATTATGTAAATCAATTGTATCTGATTTTATGCCCTTTATGGGCCCTGTAATTTGGGAAATAAAAAAAAAATCTATTCATTGATAAAACGTAATATGGACTGGTGCAGTGTCCAGTTTGCAGGTCATTTAATTTTCTGTACACATTCATGCACTCTCTGATTTAATCAATATACTCGTACGAAAAAGCATGAACCGTTTGAAGGTAATCTAATAATAACTTAATCCAATCAAATTGCATAATTCAATAACAATGTCAAGTCCACATCATAATGAGTAATAGAGGTAAACTGGGTAGGGAGAAAATGACAGATATTTCAAGTTAATATTTATGCAATAACGAATTAAAATTTGTCAACCAAAAGTTTTGCTACAATTTCAAAAACATGTCGTTCTGTATGGGTATAGTTTTCGAATCTTTCATTAGCGTATTTAAGGCTATAAAAAGTTTGGGCTTCAAAAGTTCACACAATTATTGACTTTATACAGAAAATTCGTCCTTGTAAAACATTTAATAGTTCACAAATGATACGCGATTTTAAAGTAAAATTATTTCTTAAAACACTGCAAAAAATTTCATTCATATTGATAAAGTGGTATCGTCATAAAGTGCGTTGAAATGAACAGTGGTATAGCAAACATCGAATTCCCTCACAAAATGTTATCACACACTACAGTAAGGGGAGTCAGTTAAGTTTGTCTATTTTTAGATACTATACAGGTAATCTTTTGACACTACGTATACAACCTGTGTGACCTGTGTAGTGATTTTGATTTTACGATAAATTCATGAATGAACGATAATTTTATGAATGAACATGAGCACCTGACCTCTTTCTTAAACACCTATTAAACATATAAAACCGTATTTAATAAGGAGATAATTCAGTCAAATTTTCAGTACTAAATCAACAACTGAAATGATTCCATTTTTTGATGAAACATCGTACGAACGGAGAACGGAATCGCAGGTTTAAAAATGCACTTTTTTCCCTTGTAATGACCGCGGATCTATAATTTTTATAGATCGGTTGAAATCCCAAAACTAATTTGCATAATGGAAATTTAGGCGATAGCAATACATCGGAGTGACCTCAAGGTCATCCTCTGTAAAAAACTACCAATCATCACGGCAATCACTAAAAATAGGTAATTCACATTTTTACTGATTGCTAAACGAGGGTATGGTCGGGGTATAAAGAATAGAGAATAATTACCAAAAAAAAAAATTAAGACAAGAGAATAATGGACAAAACAATCATAGAATTCAAAAAATGGCATTAAATTAAATTATGCAGAAATTAAGACACTCTCCCGATCAAAACACTCCCATATGTATACTCGTGACATTTGTCGCTAAGAGAGATGTTAGATGTGTTTACTCGTGGTCATTTGTCGTGTAGAGAGATCAGATGTGTTTACTTGTGATCATTTGCCGTGTGGTTACTTGTGATCATTTGCCGTGTAGAGAGATCATAATTATATGTTTTCTCGTGATTTTTTGTCGACCTTCTCTACCAGATTTATATGTATCAAAATGAAGGTACTGTGTGTATATCTGGCGACTTCAACTCACGTATCGGATATAATACTGACTTCATTGAAGGTGTTGATCGCATCCCTTCTCGTGAGGTAATCGATAAAACCGAGAATCACTACGGAGATTTGTTTGTGGATTTCTTAGTTGATAGTAATTTTTGTGTTTTGAACGGCCGTATAGGAAATGAAAACAATTATACATGCGTTTCAAAGAAAGGAAAGTCAGTTGTGGATTATGTAGTGGTACCGCATGAATCTATACCTTCAGTGAGTGATTTTAAGGTAAATACGATATCCGACCTGATCGACCGATACAACATGGATGTGCCAGATAAAACACCGGATCATTCGATTCTCGAATGGAAATTAGCTGTTATGAATGAAGGTCTGAATGATGAACCAGCATTTGAAACACAATTCAAGGGAAATAAAATATATGATACATCAAAGTTGCCAACAGAATTCTTGAATTCGGAAGATTGTGCGAAAAGAATTAGCGAAACTGTCAACCGCATTGAAAATGAACTTTCATCAAATAGATGTATTAACGAAGCATATGGAGCTTTCACTAACTTTTTAATGAACGAAATGGATCTAGCCGGCCTAACTGTAACCAATCCTATCAAATATGAACGTAAATCGAAGCAAAGTAAGGCAAAGACTTTCTTAAAGCCTTATTGGAGTGATTTACTACAGCATAAGTGGAACGCAGCAAGCAAAAGGGAAAAGTTATGGCTAAAGTGTAATGACCACACAAACATTAAACGTAAATTAAAACAAGAATATTGTGTTGCCCGAAACGATTTTGACAAACATTTACGGAAAGCAAAACGAAATTATCAAATTTAAATACACTTCAAATGGATTTGCTGACTGAACTTAAAAAACCAAACTCTAGAGATGTTTGGAAACAAATTGGCAAAATTGGAATTTCGAATGACAGGCGGGATCAAATACCATGGGAGGTTATTGATAATAATGGCGAAGTAATTACAAATAAAGACTGTGTATTACAAATGTGGAAAACGGACTATCAAACATTGTTCAACGATCAAACGGACAGCATTTTATATGATGAATGTCACCTAGACAGAATAAAGCAGGGTAAAATTTCATCAGACCCTGAACTGATTGATACATCTTGTTTGAACAAACCCATCACTCGTTGTGAAGTTGAGGAAGCGGTGAGCAGATTGAAATTAAGAAAGGCACCTGGCATAGACAATATCCCAGCAGAAGTTCTAAAAACGAAACCTGTATCGATATGTTACAAAAGATAATAAATTTTTGTTTTGAAAATGGTGTTTCGCCACTTGAGTGGAAACAAGGAATTATAAATCCAATAGTGAAACCAAATAGTACAGACTTTCGTGTTCCTTTGTCATATCGTGGGATAACACTTTTGTCAGTGCCATGTAAAGTTTATTGTGACATTCTTAATCGTAGGTTTGGAGATTGGATAGAAGATTCGGGTGTACTGGTTGATGAACAATGTGGATTTCGTAGAAAACAAAGCTGCCTAGATCATATATAGTTTGTACTCTATCATCAATGACCGTAAATTGTCACGTCTTTCAACCTTTGCCTGCTTTATTGACCTGAAGAAGGCGTTCGACAATGTGAATCGGGACTGTTTATGGTTCAAATTGCAAACGTTTGGTGTTAACGGAAAAATCTTAAATGCTGTTAAATCTTTGTATGACAACACAACATGTTCTGTGCGTGTTTACAACGTCTTTACGTCAATGTTTCCGGTTTCATGTGGAGTGAAACAAGGGTGTTTGATTTCTCCGACGCTTTTTGCTCTGTATATCAATGACTTAGCTACAGAAATTAAGTCTTTAAATAAGGGTATTGATATTGATAGTATAAATGTAAGTATCTTACTATATGCAGACGATATCGTTTTACTAGGTCCAAATGAGGCTAGTTTACAATGTATGCTTGATTGTGTTAATGCATGGTGCCATAAATGGAGATTAAGTATTAATTGTAGTAAATCAAATGTCATACATTTTAGGCCTAGCTCTGTTCAGCGTTCTACTTTCAATTTTTTCTGTGGTAGTCATAGTTTAGTCTATGTAGACTCATACAAATATTTAGGTATATGGTTCACTGAACATGTAACATGGTATAAAGCCGTTAAAGAACTCTCTAAATCTGCCAGTCGAGCTTTGAGCTGTTTGACTGTGAAATTTTACGCTTGTGGTGGTATGACGTATCAAGTGTTCACAAAACTGTATGAAAGTTTGGTACAACCAATATTGTTATATGGTGCGTCGATATGGGGACTTACGGAACATAGACTCATTAATAACGTTCAAAACAGTAAAATATTCCTTGTAGTGACTAAATTGACTAGCAATACTGCAGTACAGGGTGATTTAGGATGGCTGTCATGTCATGCTAAACAAAGACTGGAAGTTTTAAGATTCTTTTATAAACTTGAAAATTCAGATAATTCTCGTATTTTGTATAAGATACTTCTATGGTCGAAACGAAAACGTAGATCCTGGAACTTTAATGTGGTTAAATTATTTCGCAACATGTCTGTAGAATACTTAATGCAGCCCGGAATTAGCAAAGAACTATTTTTTAAAGTGATTAAAAGTAAATTACGAATATTAGATGAACAGTTGTGGTTTACCAAACTTTGGAATGACAATTCGAATGTGAATGGAAACAAATTGAGACTATATAGACGTTACAAGAAGGACCTTCAACCTGAACACTATGTTATTAACACAATGCCACGCCAATTACGAAGTTATTTATGTAAACTTAGATGTGGAACTTTACCTTTGTCTGTCGAGACGGGTCGTTATACGAAACCACCAATACCTTTAGAAGAAAGAATTTGTCCATTTTGTAATAATGCTATAGAAGATGAGATACACTTTTTGATTAATTGTGACATTTACAGTGACTTAAGGTTTAAATTGTTTCACAGAGCTATGGTCATGGATAATTCTTTTTTTACAAAGTCAGATTTTAATCAATTTGTATTTTTAATACAGAATGTCGAATTGCAATACGAGTTATCTACCTTGGTGCATAATATGATAAGAAGACGTCGTGCACTGAAAAGCAATCTACACTCTTGATTTTATATTTCCGTAAAAGCCAAAGTTACATTTAATTTATTCATTTTTCTAATTCATTTTATTCATGTTTTATTTATTTATTTTTTTACTGAGAGGCTTTAAAAATTTAAAAAAAAAAACCAAGATTATTTCAATTTATTCTTCGCAATCTGTTTATATAACCCCCTTAAAACATTATTTTTTTTATCACATATCATTTATTTTTTACTAATGTACGTCATACTTAATTGTGTCATTTCTATTTTAAGTTATTTTCTTTTTATTTAATTAATGAAAAAATAGTGTAAAATTCGGATAATTTTAAACATTTTTGACATTTTACTACGTTTTACACTTTGTATTTGTTAAATAGTTATATATTTGTATATATAGTGTCTCATAAGCCTGTCTAGGCTGGGTATTTGTCTTATTTTATTGTTATGCAATGTATTTTATATAACCTGTATAAAAATCTGTAGACAAGTATGTGACACTTTAATAAAATAAATTATTATTATTTTTTATTATAAAGAGATCCGATGAGATCTTTTGTCGAGTAGAAAGATTAAATGTGTTAACTCGTGGTCTTTTGTCGTGTAGAGGGATTAAACGTTCGTACTCGTGATTAGTTGTCGTAAAGCGATCAAATGTACTCATGATCATTTGTGATGTAAAAAGTCAAATCAGATGTGTTTACTCGTGATCTATTGTTGTGCAGAGATTAGATGTGTTTGCTCGTTACCATATGTCGTGCAGCGAGATCAGATGTGTTTATTTGCGATCATTTGTCGTTTAGAGATATCAGATAAGTTTACTCATAATCATTTGCCATGTCAAGAGTCAGATCAGATGTGCATACTCATGATCATTTGTCATGTAAAGATTCATATCAGATGTGTTTACTCATAACCTATTGTCGTGAAAAAAAATATTAGATGTGTTTGCTCGTTATCATTTGTCGTCTGGGGAGCTCACATGTGTTTACTCGTTATCATTTGTCGTGTAGAGAGATCAGATGTGTTTGCTCGGGATCATTTGTCGTGTAGAAAAATCAGATGTGTTTTCTCGTAATCATTTGTGTGTAGAGAGATCAAACGTTTACTCTTGATCATTTGTCGTGATGTGAGATCAGAAATGTGTACTCTTTATCATTTGTCGTGTAGAGAGACCAGGCGTGTTTATTCTTGATCGTTTGTCGTGTAGAGAGATAAGACGTGTTTACTTACCCTTGATCATTTGTCGTGAAGAGAGATCTGCAGACGTGTTTACTCTCTTGATAATTTTTGTATAGAGAGATCAGACATGGTTACTCTTGATCATTTGTGGAGTAGAGAGATCTAATGAGTTTACTCGTGATCATTTGTCGTGTAAAGAAATCAGATATTTGTACTCGTGATCACTTATCGCGTAGAGTGACCATTTGTGTTTACTCTTGACCATTTGTCGTGTAAAAAAATCGGATGTGTTTACTCTTGGTCATCTGTTGTATAGAGAGATCAGACGTGTTAACTCTTGATCATTTGTCGAGTAGAGAGATCAGATGCCCTAATTCGTGATCATATGTCGTGTAGAATGATCAAATGTATTTACTTGTGATCATTTGTCGTGTAGAGAGATCAGATGTCCTTAATCGTGATCATATGTCGTGTAGAATGATCAGATGTGTTTACTCGTGATCATTTGTCGTGTATAGTGATCAGATGTGTTTACTCGTGATCATTTCTCGTGTTTAGAGATCAGATGTCCTTACTCGTGATCATATGTCGTGTAGAATGATCAGATGTGTTTACTCGTGATCATTTGTCGTGTATAGTGATCAGATGTGTTTTCTCGTGATAAGTTGTCGTGTAGAGAGATCAGAATGTTTACTCGTTATCATTTGTCGTGAAGAGTTATCAGAAGTGTTTACTTGTGATCATTTGTCATGTAGAGAGATCGTATGTAAGGGTGTAAAAAATATAAAGAATAGAGAAAAATGGACCAAAATAATAAAGAATAGAGAATAATGAGGTGCTCAAATATAAAGATTAGAGAATAATGGGCAAAAAGTATAAAAAATAGAGAAAAATGGCCTAACAAATTAAAGAATACAGAAATAACGGACCCACCATCCAGACCCTCATATGTGTTTACTCATGATCATTTGTCATGATCTGATGTGTTTACTCGATCGTGATCTTTTGTCGTGTAGGGAGATCAGATATGTTTACTCGATCGTGATCTTTTGTCGTGTAGGGAGATCAGATATGTTTACTCGATCGTGATCTTTTGTCGTTTAGATAGATCAGATGTGTTTTTTCGTCATCATAAAATTGTCCTTTAGAGAGATTAGATGTTTTTACTTGTTAACATTTGTCGTGTAGAGAGAAAGTAAACGATTGACATACCTTGATGGTATAGCATAATGAAAACGGGAAAAACAGAACACAGAGAAAATATGAAACGCCAATCAAAATACCACCGGCACATCCGGGTCCTGTATATGGCTCTTTGAAACGGGCTGCACCAGTCTCATTTTTAACTGAAAATAATAGATTGGCTTATTTACATTTTATCTCATACAATTGTCGCTTTGATTCTCAAAGTATAGGTTGCACTTGCGGTAAGTTTCCCATGCAAACATTTGTATAACACTTCGTTTTTTTCACTTGTATACTTCCATAGGGCTTTACAAGAACAAATGCCAACAATAACAACTTGTTAGATTTTAATGTTTTTTTTTTATTTCAATCGTTCATCATCAATTTCTTCATCTGTTGTCCGGAAGAAACGTTTCAGATTCTCCCTCACCCCGTGTTGTTTTTATAAAGGGACGGAACACCACTACTAACCGTGTACTAAAATAAACCACGCCTACTATAACCCCATATTAAATATACAGGGTCTCCACGCTGTCGTTTTTAACCAATGCTATTCCTAGAAATATATAGGAGGTAAGATAAGAATACTTTTTGCTATGATTGTTTCTTTGCTTCGGGGGTACCTTTGTATATCATGTATATGTATCCGGTGGTGATGCTACACAATGGTCTTGAAAGGTACGTTATTTTAATGTTTTGATATGACCGCCTACCTACGAGAAAAAAATTATATAGACTTACAAGACGTAATGTTTTAACTAGCACAACATATGGATCAGAAGCACTTCTATACTCCTCTAAACAGATCGATCGACAGGTTGAAATTGGAAACACAGAACGTTAATTGTTAATGTAAACATCCTCTAGCTAAATGTTAATATTTCTATTAAGAAAATGAAGTTAACATACCTTTATCTGTCGCCATTAGACTTGAATAATCATGTCGATAGTCACCTTTCTCTCTTACAGCTTGCATTACAGGTAAACAACAACATTCGTTTCGAAATATATATAACTAAAAATAAACCTTATGTTTTTTTATAGTGGTTGTGTCCCCTTGTGCGTTTCAGCTCGAAAGGAACCTGGTGTATTTACATATTTTTTGTCTGGTTTACGCAATTAGTGTGTTATGTTTGATTTGGTATTTCAGTGTGTGTGTGTTTTGTTGTGTTTTAGGGCTTTCTTAGGGGGACTTCTTTTTTAATCGGTTCTTCAAATTTTGTCAGGAGTTTTTTTTTAAACATATTCTATTTCAACATTTTACAGGTATTCAGAGTCAAAAGCATGCAGCCAGAAAATCTTGTTTCGTTAATGATGTTTTATACACGGAAGCGACTTGTGAAAAGTATGATATATCCACACGAACGTGATATTGAACATGCAATCGTGTTTTGAAACGCAGTGTATGTGTTTAATGTTTTTTTCAATTCGAATAGGGGCCTCGGTGGCCGAGTGGTCTAAGTAGTTACTACTGTAATCACTAGCCAGTCAACACTGAGGTTGTGAGTTCGAACCCCGCTAGTGCGGGTGCACTCGACTTCAATCTTAATTGACTAGGATTGTCAGTTTTCCTATCGAAGGTCGGTGGTTTTCTCCGGGCACTCCGGCTTCCTCCACCAATAAAAACTGGCCGCCCCGAAATAGCCCAAAAGCGGTGCTTAAAAGTGGCGTTAAAACACAAAAAAAATAAAATCAAATCAATTCGAATTTCAGGTAGGATGTAAGCTGTAGAAGGTTAGAATGAAGTAATTATTTACAAAGGCGACAATGGTGAGTAGGTGGAAAGGGTATTGGGAGACAGGGAGAAAGGGGCAGGAGAAATGAGAGAAAGGGCGGACGAAAGGAGGGAGAACTATCAAAGGGAGACGAACTTTAATGTTGAAAAAAAAATAAAGAGGTAAAAAAACGAAAAAACTGGATACTAAATGTTCTAATAAATGGACAAATCTTTGAAAAAAGGCAACATTTATATTTCCCAAACCATTGGGTTAGGGAGATATTTAGATTATTTTTTTCTTCCCTTAGTGAAAACACAAAAAACATACATTTCTGATACAGGTGACTTAATCAGAAATATTGAAAACTGTACATTTGATAATAATGTACTACTTGTTACATATGATATAACATCACTGTATACCAATCTCAGATTTGAAGAAATCACAGAAGCCTTACAAAAAGCGCCTGATGAACATGAAAAAATTGAATCTTCTATAACAAAACCTACCAACAAATTTTTGATTGAAATAACAAAACTCATCCTTTCCAATAATGAATTTACCTTTTATGGAAATTCATTTCGACAAATCATTGGAGCATCAATGGGAGCAACAGCTTCCCCTGAAATATGTGACATTGCTATTTACAATCACATAAACTCAATCCTTAAAAACTCTCTAATCTCTGAAAAAATTATTTTTCATAAAAGAATGAGAGATGACGGACTACTAATGGTAAAAGCAAAAGAGTCTGAAATTGATTTTCTGTTTGAAAATGCAATTAAACAACATGACCTGCTAAAGTTCACTTGTGAATGCAATAATCATTCAATAAAATTTCTAGACCTTGAAATCTTCAAGGGCGAACGCTTCAAAAATACTGGTGTTTTAGACCTGAAATGTTTTACAAAGAAAACCGAAAAATTCCAATATCTTCATAAAAACTCAAACCACCCCATTTCAAACTTTAAATCCTTTATTAAAGGCGAAGGCATTCATATACTTAGAAACACCAACACTGACAGTGAATTTCAAACCAGAAAAAATCTCTTTATTGAAAAACTATTAATTAGAGGATATCAACTGAAATTGGTAGAACAAATTCTATCAAAAATCAAATTCCAAGACAGACAAGATAAATTAAAGAAAAAGAACAAAGTTGAAAATAAATATTATATATCATTCATTACAAATTATCATCCTCAAGCAGAAAAACTTCAAAAAGTATTCAGAAAATACTGGCATCTTATTAAAACGGATTCTACAATAGGTGCTAAATTTCATAAAAACCTATCAATAGGATTCAAAAGAAACAGAAACATTGGTGAATTAGTTAAACAAACTATAAAATAATTTATCTAAACCTCACAGTTCCTACTAAACATTTAACTGTGCGGAACTAATTAATGACCATCATGTAAACAACACATGTAAACAGATATTCTTATGAGGACAAGTTTGTACTATGAAACGCATAATTAATTCAACATTGGTTGAAAAAGTTAAGAAAACCAAAATAAAAATAAAACAAATTTAAAAGTGTAATTATTAAAAACACAATTCAAAAACTATTTAAAAAATTAAACAAGAGTGCACACGCTGAAATGTCTCGCCTTCTTTACTAATCATTGATATTATGTTGATAGTCCTAAATATAAAGCTTTATTACAACTGTCACATAAACTTAACATTAACCAAGTAAACTAAACATTGACCAATGAACCATGAAAATGAGGTCAGGATTAGATGAACCATGCTAGGCAGGCATGTACAGCTAACAATTCTTCCATACAACAAATATAGTTGACCTATTGCCTATAGTTTAAGAAAAACAGACCAAAACACAAAAACTAAACACTGAGCAATGAACCTTGAAAATGAGGTCAAGTTCAAATAAAACCTGCGTGACTGACATATAGATCATAAAATATTTCCATACACCAAATATAGTTGAACTATTGCATATAGTATTAGAAAAAAAGACCAAAACTCAAAAACTTAACTTTGACCACTGAACCATGAAAATGAGGTCAAGGTCAGATGACACCTGCCAGTTGGACATGTACACCTTACAGTCCTTCCATACACCGAATATACTAGACCTATTGCTTATAGTATCTGAGATATGGACTTGACCACCAAAACTTAACCTTGTTCACTGATCCATGAAATGAGGTCGAGGTCAAGTGAAAACTGTCTGACGGGCATGAGGACCTTGCAAGGTACGCACATACCAAATATAGTTATCCTATTACTTATAATAAGAGAGAATTTAACATTACAAAAAATCTTAACTTTTTTTTCAAGTAGTCACTGAACCATGAAAATGAGGCATTGGACATGTGACCTACGGAAACTTCGTAACATGAGGCATCCATATACAAAGTATGAAGCATCCAGATCTTCCACCTTCTAAAATATAAAGCTTTTAAGAAGTTAGCTAACGCCACCGTCGCCGGATCACTCTCCCTATGTCGAGCTTTCTGCGACAAAAGTCGCAGGCTCGACAAAAAATAAAAAATTAAAAATTAAAACTTTGATAAATTAAAGAAAAAATAGTAATAATGAAAAAGAAATAAATGAAAAAACAAAACAAAAACAATAGGGGTGGTCTCTGATGAAGGTTTCCCTGGAATAAAAACATTTCCGAAATAACCCGAAACATTGCGTACATAGCACAGTATCAATGTTAGGCCAGAGATATGATTCGCACCTAAATGGATGGATATTGGATCAATTTCTATGAAATTCTGTCCAGTGTCTCTAAAGAAGACGTGAAACTATTGTTTGAATTTAGGGAGAGATATGGAAAAGGAGTACGACAGCGAAGCGTAAGAGCCGATACAACGAAGTTTAATGCAGGTACGCTACCTCTCAACATGTACCAAAACAATATCCCACCTAAATATGCATCGATAGATCTGTCTGTTACCGACATTAGAATCAACGAAACAGCTGAAGACCCGTCACTTACAGAAACACGCACAATTGATCAATTGCAAAGTTCAAATGAACCCGCCGGACCAGTGTTAGACTCTATTTATGATGAAAATGATTTGGTGGCGGTCATGTTGGATGACCAGTTGTCTCTCGGAAGTCTCACTGAACTTGTTTTTTGAAACTGACAAAGTGTGCAAAGCAATTCTGTATAAAGAGAATGATGGCCTTGTATTTCATAAAGACATGCAAAGAGATATACCACTTAATTGTATATTAGAAAGTGTAATACCCCCTTTGTTACCTGGTCAGGTTGTATATACATTAGATGAGGAGATTTACGATAGGCTGACCAGCTCTCTTCAGACTGATACAATGACGATCAATGAAAAAGTTAGCGGGACGTTTGAGGAAGAGGAAATTGTACTGACTGTACTGAGCTGTGAAAGGACGAGACGTGGGAGAACTGTTAAAAAACCAAGACACTTGATGGATTTCTATTAATTCTGTACATATTATATTATATTTTATAGCAAAACTTAGACAAATATTTAAGGCCAGATATATGTACACAGGTTCATTAGTTTTCTTGTCTTATGCCTTCACATGTGGGTTTCTGTTTCCTCTGAGTATTTGGCGATCTTCTACAAATTTAAAAAGAAGGTATGCTGACAATGTCAGAGAGATACACTCCCTCCTCTAAACAATAGTACATGTACTTAACGCGTTTTCCAGGTCACCTTAAAATATTTACGTTATCCACTTGACCATACAAAGTAAGGTATTCTCGAGGACAGGGAAAAATAGAGATGACACAATAAAAAACTATGTCTAATTTCATGATCCTCATACATGACCATACATATCAAAAATGAGTTTCTTGACATTGGGGCATGCACAATGCACCATTGACAACATTCCAACATTGTGTATTAATTTGCGTACGAGTCGGAGGCAGGCCTTGTTCGTAAAATCAGTATATGCTTTAATAAAGACCTATGCCACCTATATATGGTCATATATTAATTCAAATTTGTATTAAAATCGATTGATCTGAAAAAAGACGGTTGTTAAGGTGGGAGATGGAAGCAGAGGGGCGGGAGAAAGGAGAAAGGTACCCCCCTTTCCACCCCCTCAATGGTAGCCTTTTTTGGTTCTGCGTATTCACTATAAAAGATCCGGTGATAAAACTCTCAAATTCTGAATTTTCAGCATCTTTGGGTGTGAATAAAACTGCAAAACACATTTGTTGCTGCAGCTTTTTTGATAGAAAAATGTCATTTTTTATTGGTACTCTTTGGTTCCGGAATTTTCGATATAGCATGAATGAAGAACACCCCTTGCTTAATTTTGCACAGAAAATGCTGCTCATCACAGAAAATTTCCTCCAAATGTCTCGCTATTTCTAAACAAAAAGCCAGCACTCATTTCTCACTATTTCAAGGATGTAAAAACTAGGTGGCGCCAGTCATCTTTAATTACTTCCTTTTAACCAGAAAGTCTCACTGTGGATTTGATATAAAGAACTGTATTAATGATTATGTGATTATACTGGCAAAACATTTGTGATTATGTGATTACTTGAACACCCCCATGAGGGGCCTCATTAATTAAGACAATATCTTCTTCGTTATTTTAAAACCTCAGCATAAAGGTTTGACAGACAATGAAATAAAATATACGTTGTATTTTAATTTCTGGAGACTGATACAAGCAGCTAAACAGGCGTTGATACCGCATGGCAAGGACACTGGCACTTGTCTCTAGCTGAAAAAATATTTATATCCTTTAATGTTATATTAAAGTATATAGGTATTTTTTCAGAGACAAGTGCCCGTGGGCAAGGATGCCAAATGCGTTTCACCACTCGCCTTTCACGGGAAAATCTGCAAAGTAAAAATATACAATGTGTTATTATACAATGTTTTTTTTCAAATACAAGACTATTATCAAGTCATGAGTAAATTTGATCTTTTAGCAATGATTGATAGTAGCCAAGTGGAGAAGACACATTTTAAGATTTTGCAAATATATACTGGGGCTTAGTAAACAATCTGTCAATATAGCTGCTAGAGCAGAACTAGCCCATTATCCCATGAGGGGGTAGGACCTTTATCGGGACTCCGGGATCGGGTGTTTTTAAGCTCGTGATTTCGGGATTGATCCTTTCGGGATCCGGGAATTCTTTTGTCGAATTTCGGGATGTCGGGATTTAAATTTTTTTTAATTCGGGACCTCGGGATTCCATGTTTTTAAGCCCGGGATTTCGGGATCAGGACCCCTCCTACCCCCCTCTCCCATGAATGTTTTTATTAAAGTACAATCACTGAAATACTTAGCAAGAATATCCAGTGATGAAAATAACCCTTTATTATATGATGCCCCAGGTAGCACAAAAACATTTTATTGATATTTTTAAAAAATATTGCAACATGTCACAAAAATATCATTCAGAAATATTGTTTGACGTGAAATGTATGGCTGTACTAATGTGAATAGCATATTTTCAGCTGATATTTGTTCTGAATGTTTAAAGAACATTTTTTTTTTAAATATTTTGATTTTATATTTAAATAACATAATTTTGATATCATTCAGTGTCAGTTGAAAATATCCAGACAACATATATATCAAACGTTATCCAAAAATATCCTTTTCATGTCTAAAATATGTTTTATGGATGTCTACCAAATGTTTTTAAAATATCAGAGGCAAGTTTAGGTAGAAATATCTCTTGAAAATGTAAATTAAATATTTCAACAATGTTTTATGGATGTCTTCCCAATATTCTTAAAACATCTTGGTTAAATGATTGTAAAAAACATTATATAAATATTCAAAAAACGTTTTATGTTCAGGCCAACTCTCAGCTTGCAAATATATCATGCATATTTAGACTAACATTTATCAGCTCTCCTCCAGGGCACCGGTTTCTTGTTCTATCATTATATGTAGTGTAATGTAGACTGTTTATTTTTTTTATTTTGTTTTGCAATGCGATTGTTTTTCTCCGACTTGTGGAAATTTGAATTTTTGTTTGATATTTTTCAAACTCTTTCAAACAATTAAGAGCAGTCAAAGCATGACATTGCATACTGCCGACACAAAAGCATTGATAGAATAGCTTATTCATATGACAGGACGACTGTCAATGAATATTGAATTTTCCTGAATAGCATTTTAACATTTTATTAATTATTCAGAGTCTGTATCTTCTACTGCGAGCCTCCTCTTCTTGTTAGCCTTCTGAAGAAGAAATAATACATAAATGTTTAAACTCAATTGAGATTTAAGCTTTTAAGCCGATATCAAGTCAAACATTATGAAATAAAATGCTCCGCAGGGCGCAGCTTGATACGACCGCAGAGGTCGAACCCTGAACAGTTGGGGCAAGTATGGACACAACATTCAAGCTTGATACAGCTCTGAATTTGGATTGTGATTAAATATTTGACACAGCATAGGTTTCTAACACAGATTGAATGTGGTCTAAGAACTTAAAAATTTTAAATTGGACATTCACCTATTATGGTCCAATATCCAAAATCTAAATACATGGTTAGATTCAGCATATCAAAGAACCCCAATAATTCAATTTTTGATGAAATCAAACAAAGTTTAATTTTGGACCCTTTTGACCTCAATGTGGACAAAGTTGATAACGGGGCCCAAAAATCAAAAATCTAAATACATGGTTAGATTCAGCATATCAAAGAACCCCATATATTCAATTTTTGTTGAAATCAAACGAAGTTTAATTTTGGACCCCGATTTGGACCAACTTGAAAACTGGGCCCATAATCAAAAATCTAAATACATGTTTAGATTCAGCATATCAAAGAACCCTAAGAATTCAATTTTTGTTAAAATCAAACTAAGTTTAATTTTGGACCCTTTGGACCTTAATGTAGACCAATTTGAATACGGAACCAAAAATTAAGAATCTAAATACACGGTTAGATTCGGCATATCAAAGAACCCCAATAATTCAATTTTTGATGAAATCAAACAAAGTTCAATTTTGGACCCTTTTGACCTCAATGTGGACAAAGTTGATAATGGGGCCCAAAAATCAAAAATCTAAATACATGGTTAGATTCAGCATATCAAAGAACCCCATATATTCAATTTTTGTTGAAATCAAACAAAGTTTAATTTTGGACCCCGATTTGGACCTTAATGTAGACCAATTTGAATACGGAACCAAAAATTAAGAATCTAAATACACGGTTAGATTCGGCATATCAAAGAACCCCAATAATTCAATTTTTGATGAAATCAAACAAAGTTTAATTTTGGACCCTTTTGACCTCAATGTGGACAAAGTTGATAACGGGGCCCAAAAATCAAAAATCTAAATACATGGTTAGATTCAGCATATCAAAGAACCCCATATATTCAATTTTTGTTGAAATCAAACAAAGTTTAATTTTGGACCCCGATTTGGACCAACTTGAAAACTGGGCCCATAATGAAAAATCTAAATACATGTTTAGATTCAGCATATCAAAGAACCCTAAGAATTCAATTTTTGTTAAAATCAAACTAAGTTTAATTTTGGACCCTTTGGACCTTAATGTAGACCAATTTGAAAACGGAACCAAAATTTAAGAATCTAAATACACAGTTAGATTCGGCATATCAAAGAACCCCAATAATTCAATTTTTGATGAAATTAAACAAAGTTTAATTTTGGACCCTTTGGACCTCAATGTGGACCAATTTAAAAACGGGGCCCAAAATCCAAAAACTAAATACACGGTTAGATTCAGCATATTAAAGAACCCCATGAAATCAAGAATAAAACCCCATTGAAATTGGTCAAGAAATAAGCAATTTATAGGAAGTATCTTCTTTTGCACAATCCTGTGCTATTAAATATTTCTTGCTATTGCGCAATACTGTACAATTGACAATTTCTTGCTATTGCGCAATATTGTGCTATTGGATATTTCTTGCTATTGCGCAATACTGTGCAATTGAAGATTTCTTGCTATTGCGCAATACTGTGCAATTGAAGATTTCTTGCTATTGTGCAATACTGTGCAATTGAAAATTTCTTGCTATTGCACAATACTTATTATATAATAATTTACACATCCTGTTTGGTGTGTATCTCCTACCATATCATTATTATTTGATTTTAAATATAAATCAGAAATAACCAACTTAAAATGGAAAATTTTAAAAGAAACAAAAAAGGAAAAAAGAAAAAAAAGGAAAAAAAAATAAATCCCCCCCCAAAATTTTTTGAACCCCCATTATGATTCATCACCCCCAAACTCAATCCCAGCCTTCCCTTTGTGGTATGGTACCTTGCAGTACAATTTCAGAGAGATCCATACACTTGAACACAAGTTATTGTCTGGAAACTAGAAAAATGTGTTTTTTGGCCCCTTTTTGGCCCCAAATTCCTAAACATTTAGGGCAATTACCCCCAAACTCAAACCCAGCTTTCCCTTTGTGATATGGAACCTTGTAGTACAATTTCAGAAAGATCCATACACTTACACACAAGTTATTGTCAAGAAACTAGAAAAATGCTTGTTTTTTGCCCCTTTTTTGGCCCCTAATTCCTAAAATTTGGAGGCAATTACCCCCAAAATCAATCCCAGCATTCCTTTAGTGATATGGAACCTTGTGGTACAATGTCAGAGAGATCCATACACTAACACACAAGTTATGTCTGGAAGTTACAAAAATGCTTATTTTTGGCCCCTTTTTGGCCCCTAATTCCTTTACTGTTATTACCATAACCCCCAAAATCAATCCCAACCTTCCTTTTGTGGTATTGAACCTTGTGGTAAAATTTCATAAAGATCCATTCACTTAAACTAAAGTTAGAGTGCGAAAACCAATGTGTCTTCGGACGACGCCGGACGACGCCGGACGACGACGACGACGACGACGACGACGACGACGACGCCGGACGACGACGACGCCAACGTCATACCAATATACGACCACAAAAATTTTTTTGCGGTCGTATAAAAAATTGTATTATAATAATTAGATTACAGGTATGCCGTTATTTTGATTATGATATAGATTCAGGAAACAGAACTATGTCAAAAAACGTTCTAACTAAATAAAGAATTCAAGTGAAAGATACAAAGTCAAATCTAAATCAAAGTGACACTTAGCATTGACAGTAATATTAAACATTTTATGCATATATATCTGCGAATTTCAAATCCGATGTAGCATAAAGGATGGCTATTATGTTACTTACTTAAAGTAATTCATTCTGGGCTATCAAATGGTAGAATGCATTTTGTCCCATCTCCATTTCCATGCATTTTGAAGCCAGAATATTTTCAATGATTATTAAAATTCCTTTTGCACTCTGCTTTAATTTGTCTTCTGTAGTTCTCAAATACCAGATCTATAAATTTATATGAGAATGTAAAATTGTATGTTAAAAAGAAACTCTACTTCAAGTAATTCATACACGAATCATGGCTGTCTGCAAATTTGTATAGACTTTTTCCGTATGATATTTTTTTCACATTTTACCCCCTTTTTTCACATATACATGCCATTTCATTTTGTTTAAAATATATCTTTTTCACTTTTCCATGATATCCTAATGTTTAATTATAACACTGCATACATATAATTTAAAGAAGTAGCGTCTTCAACTTTTTGTGATAGTTACTCCTACAAACTATTCAAATACAGATTTTATTTTGCAAAAGTTTTGCCGAGGACAAAAAAACAAGATTCAGTCGAGTCCGTATATCAATTACGATTTTTTAAAATTACAACTTACATGTTTCTTTCTCTTTGAACTGTGATTTTCTCTTTTAGTTTTCTTTGTTTTCACTGCCTTCGGAAGTTACAAATAGACGACAGGAAATAACCTCAAAAATGACCATCCCATTACATTTAGATTTTCTATAATCTTAATTACCATAGCAACTATCTTTGAAATGTGTCCAACATCTGGTTAACCTTATCAGAATGTGTTTGATTAACAGGATAGTTGTATCAAATATCACTCTGTATATATTTGTTTATTATGTTTCATCAATTAAAGTTGAACGAAAAAAGTTATAATAATACACGATTGAAATGTTCCTCAAAGGTTAAAATTATCAAGGAGATTATCTCATATAATCTCTTTGGAATTATTAAAGCTCTTCTATAAAAATGAGGAGTCATTCATGTTAATTATAATGTGATATCTAAAAAATATTTCTTTTTCATATCAAACACTTGCTTCACTCAAATATTACTAACAAACATTTGACAAACATTTCTGTCATACATCTTACAAATATCTAGAAGACATATTATGTTAAAATGTTTATAAAAGGGTCTTCAACTAATATTTTCTAAATAAAATCGAAAAAATATTTTGTTAAGACGTTATTTAAATATTCATTAGATATTACCAGCTTATATTTTTAATTAGGACAAGAAAATTATTTAGATGTTACATCAAAAAGATATTTTATTATACATCAAACCTATGCTTAACGCAGATATTAATCAAAAATGTTTTATAAACATTTCTTTTACACATCTTACAAATATATATTATAATTATGATATAAAAATGTCCATCAGATATTGTTTTAATATTGTAAAGAAATATTTCTTCGACATAAAACTGTCCTCATTTATAAAACTGTCTTTTAAACGTTTAAAAAACATCAGCAAAAAATATTTATTTATTTTTTATAAAAAAATATTTACAAAAAATGTTTTTATATTTGCAATCAAACATTGGGATGAAATGTTATGAGTAAAATATCATTCACACCTAATTTCTGATGTAAGCAAAATGTCTTTAAAATATTTTTGTGAAAATATTTCTGATAAACATATATACAACCAGTCAATAATATCATGAAAATATTTTGTGTTAGCTGGGGCTTTCTACGGAAGCCGATAAGGGTCATTCAAAAAAAAAAATTATGTCGTAATTACGAAATAGTATGTGGAAATAACGACATCGCTATGTCGTAATAACGACATGTTATGTGGAAATAACGACATCGTTATGTCGTAATAACGACATATTATGTGGAAATAACGACATCGCTATGTCGTAATAACGACATATTATGTGGAAATAACGACATCGCTATATCGTAATTACGACATATCATCTATATCATCTATAACAACAACCTTAACATTGCTACTTTGTGAGCATCGAAACACTATGGGAAACAACATTTTCATCTTTATTTTAAGAACTACTTATCAGAATTTAATCAAACTTGATATACGTGTGCACTGTAAAGTCCTATTCAAGTGTTATTACTTAGTTACACATTGGTTAAAACACATGACCGCCAAGGGACTTTGAAAAAATCAATGTTCAAAATCTGCTTCTCAAGATCGCTGAAATGACTGAGCTTAAACTTAGTATAAATATACAATGTGTAAATAGTATCCAGGTCCTTAAAAAGAGTTTTTACGTTTTGAGCTGATCCGAAGTTAAAAATGGCCGCCAGTGAGGGCAAAGTTTGTTATCAAAACCCTATCGTAAACATATTCATTTTTTAGAATGATAAACACTGAATTTAATCAAGCTTAATTAATATTAAAGTTAGTTACGCTATATGTCTGCACATAATAGAACTTTATTTCATAATCAAGTCTAATGGGACCCATTGAAATGGTGAATGATTCAGGCTTGTTGGAGCCTCTATATTTATATTTGGCATTTATGTAGATCACATCAAGAAGATGTGTTAAGTATCAGAAGGATTATGTGTGCTATTGCAATCACTTGTCGTCCGTCGTCGTCTGTATTTACCGTTAAATTTTTATTAAAGATTACAAAAATCACAAAATGTTGATAAAAGTTTAGCCGCCGTCGCCGCAAAATCAATTCCTAAAGTTTCGCTATTTATGACGTTCGTCGCAGGCGAGGTAAAAATCTGCTATTTCGCTATGCGGTGTTTTTGTATAGTATTGTGGAAATAATTGCATACAGTTCGAGATTGCATGTGAGTTACGTAAGCGCTTAACTGTTTTTTATATCCTGTGGTGTTTGTCGTTGATGAAATATGTTTGCTGTTGTTCTGCAGTTTACATGTTTTGCGACTATTACTACACTGTAGTATACACCTATTGACTGGTTATGAGGGTAATAGCAAGTTTGTTGTCCCTGAGGTACCAACTATTGCTCGAGGCGAAGCCGAGGGCAATAGTTAGTATCAAAGGGACAACAAACTTGCTGTTACACTCATAACAAGTCGTTAAGTGTTTTATTATACCGAACAAAACAATTTTCTAAAAAGTTTACATACACCATTTTGAAAAAACACCCAAATAGTCATTTAAACATGCACAAGATGAACTATTTGGTTCCTTTTGCCAGTGTGTTATTTGTAAATATCTTATTTACTGTAATCAAGACCGGGAATCCTTGTGTAATAATTCCCGTGCATATAATAAATGCTAGCTAAAATATATTACCGTATACCAAAGCAATCACACATTATGAAGACGACGACAGTCCCATACCATACATTTGTTTTGTTTTAGATCTTAAATATGTAGTTTTCCTTTTTCTGTTTTAATTGCTTCTGGTAAGTAATATACATGTAAATTTGAAATTACGACGACAGACACATACAGATTATAACGTTTATGATATTTCAGAATTGAACGCGTTGTCAAGCGCTCAAATCAAAGCATAATAGTCAATGACGTCATTGTTGTCCAATGAAAAATTAGTATGAAAAAATCCGGGAAATATGTTGATAAAACTATTAACCGGGGTAATAGTCTTTGAAACTATTGACTGGCAAATAGTCTGTGGAATGAAATAGCACAAATATTTCATTCTTTTTTATATAGAAAAAACATACTGAGGTATAATAATATATTATATGTTTGTGCGTTTCTCTGTGATATATGGTCTTGCGTGTGTTTGATCTGTATTTATGCCACGTAGTGTTATCATTTCAGCCCCATTTTTAACATTGTCATAAAGCGGGAGGTTTGGCTAGCCATTAAACCAAGTTCAACCCACCATTTGTTCTTAAAATGGCCTGTACCAATTTAGGAATATGACAGTTGTTATCAAATAGTTCTTTATATGTATGTTAAGGGTTTATTTTTGTTCACTTTAGTGTTCCTGTTGTTCGTTTATTTTCCTCTTACAGTTGATATGTTTCCCTCGGTTTTAGTTTGTAACCCGGATTTGTTTTCTCTCAATCGATTTATGACCTTTGAACACCGGTATATTACTGTTGCCTTTATTTAGTAACAGTGTCCATGCTGTTTGGTTGCCGGTCAAAATCGACGGACTTCAAGTGATGACAATACATGTAGCTATCCCCAAAAAATGTTTTAGAGGACACAACTTAGATATGGGTAAAACTGAGGAGTCAAAAATCAAAGCACTCCAATGGAAAAAGCTTTGAAAATCTTCTCATTAAGAACTACAGGCCATATTGGATCAATCTTAGAGAATGGATGATCCTTATATGATGAGGATTAAATATAAAAAAAGAAGATGTGGTATGATTGCCACAAGAAACCAAATGCCACAGAAATTAACAACTATAGGTCACCGTACAGCCTTCAACAATGAGCAAAGCCCATGCCACATAGTCAGCTATAAAAGGCTCCGAAATAAGAAATGTAAAACAGTTCAAACGAGAAAACTAACGGCCTAATTTATGTACAAAAAATAAACGAAAAACAAATATGTAACACATCAACAAGCAACAACTACTAAATAACAGGCTCCTGACTTGGGACAGGCACATACATACAGAATGTGGCGGGGTTAAACATGTTAGCGGGAACCTAACCCTCCCCTAAGTTTGTAGGAATAGTTGTCCTTGGGAACATTGGTTTAAAGAACTTGGGGTTCAACGTTTAATTCAGGCTTCAATGGGGAGGACGCTGTAAGAATCTCATAAAGAACCAACAGTAGCAATGCAGTTATAATTTGCATCAAGCATCAGTAGGCCATTGTGTACAAATGAAGGTAAAGAGTTCCATTGGTCTGAGGACTAGGAGTCCAAAGTTTAACAGTCTTTATTTGGAAAAGCTTAAAATTCATCTTCTTCAGAATCTGCAATGGAAATGCAGTCATATTTTACACGAATCTGTACATGCCAAACATAACTAGAGGCTCAAAGAAGCCCGAATCGCTCCCCTGTGCAACTGGGTCTCATTTGACTTGATTATAAAATAAAGTTCTAGTATGTGCAAGTAAATAACTTTAATCAAGCTTGATTGCATTTAGTGTTCATTATTCTCCAAAAAAAGATGAATATGTTTACGCTTCAAACTTTGCCCTCACTGACGACCATTTTGAATTTTCTATTGCGTAAAAAAGTGACAACGCTAATGTTGTCGTAATAATGACATAGCGATAAGGAGCCTGTAATTCAGTGGTTGTCGTTTGTTGCTGTGTAACATATTTGTGTTTTTTTCCATTTTTTGTACATTAATAAAGCCGTTAGTTTTCTTGTTTGAATTAAATTGTTTAACATTTGTCATTTCGGGGCCTTTTATAGCTGACTATGTGGGGGCTTTTCTCATTTTTGAAGTCATTATGATGACCTTTTTGTTAATTTCTGTGTCATATAGTCTCTTGGCAATCATAATAAATACTATTTTATATATATATAGCGATGTCGTTATAACGACATAAAGATGTCGTTATTACGACATACTTATGTCGTTATAACGACATCGCTATGTCGTAATTTCGACATAAAATGTCGTTATAACGACATCGCTATGTCGTAATTTCGACATAACATGTCGTTATAACGACATCGCTATGTCGTAATTTCGACATAACATGTCGTTATTACGACATCACTATGTCGTAATAACGACATAGCTATGTCGTAATAACGATATCGCTATGTCGTAATAACGATATCGCTATATGTATATATATAAGAATATGTATTATGATTGCCAAGAGACTTAATGACACAGAAATTAACAACTATAGGTCATCATAATGCCCTCAATAATGAGAAAAGCCCCCGCATAGTCAGCTATAAAAGAGGGACGAAAGATACCAGAGGGAGAGTCCCCGACATGACTAGAATTGTTCCCCTATTCAACTGGGTCTCATTTGACTTGATTATAAATAAAGTTCTAGTATGTGCAAGTCTGAGGTGCTAGTGAATAACTTTAATTAAGCTTGATTGCATAA